TATACAGATCTACACATGGTGGCTCCTATTGGGATGTAAGCTCCTTGATGACAGGGAACGTTTGCCTGTTCTTTGCATCATTTAGCACAGTGCCTGGCACACAGTCACTCAATGATTATCCAAATTGGTAAAATCTCAGTAACACAGCTACACTGTCCCCTGTCTCTGGTAACTCTCTTTAAAAAAAAAATAAAAAACTTGAAGTTATGTGACCTGCTCTGAAGCCAGGGTGCTTGTTGGAATCACTGCTTCCTCTTCCAGAGTTTCACCAGCCATCTTGCTAATGATCTGTTCTAGAATCTTCCCAGTAACTGAAGTCAAGCTTACTGCTTGAAACATTGCAAATTCCCTTCTCTTCTCTTTTTAAAAAATTGGGATCCTTCCTTTTTTGGCTCTGGGGTGCCTCTTCTGTTTTCCATGATCTTTCAAATATCACTGATGGGGCTCAGCAGTTACTCATACCTCCTAGGTCCTTCCACACCTGGGGGGTAGTTTGTCTAAGGCTGGTAAATCTGAATGTTTTCCTCCTACCTGTACCACTGCCGCCACCGCCCCCCCCAGCTTCCATTTTCCTGTAAATTTTCTCTGTAAATTCCATCCATCATTTATATCCCCAAGTAGGCACCACCTTTTCCAAGAAGCCCTCCCTGAACCTTTGATTGACAGAGCTTTCTTCTTCCTCTGAGCTCCTGCAGCTCTCTACTCCTCCTATGACCCTGGTACCAAAGTATATGGTATTATTGGTATGTCTCTATTTCATCTATCAGTCTTAGGGTAGGACCTCGGTCTACTCTGCTAGGTCTCTGTGAGGGTAGGACATGTCTGTCTCTCTAATCCTAGCCTAGTCCCTGCACTTAACCAGGTATATTATCAAATATTTGTTGAATGGATGTTTAAGCAGAGACGGACTATGGGGATTGTGAGCCCTCCCTCCAGTCAATTTAGGAAGTCTCCCTGGAAGAGGAAAAATTTGAAGAGCTGTTTGAATATATTCAGGGACAGAAGTGTGCAGAAAGAAATAACAAACCACTCCAGTATCTTTGCCAAGAAAACCTCAAATGGGGTGACGAAGAGTCAGACATGATTGAAACAAATGAACAAGAGCTGAGAAGATCTAGTGCCTGGCCCCTCCCTTCCTCCCCAACAGTGATAATCCCCCAGCTCTATGGAGTCTGAGAGGGGATGGAGTTTAAAGACCATTCATTCACTTTGTCTCTTCCTCTGACCCCTTCATCCACTTCCTGACACACCTAGAGCAGGCCCATTGGGAGCAATCAATAGTTTGTCAAGAACAGGAAGGAGGAAGAGACAGGCTGACATGGAGAGATAGAGACAGAAACTGACACAGAAGGGGGCAGAGACACACAGAATAAGAAATAGAGTCACAGGAAAAAGACAAAGAGATGGTGAGAAAGAGGCTTTGAGAGATGGAGAGTCAATGCAGAGACACAGATGGACAGAGAGACAGAATAGGAGAAACTGAGACAGAGGCACAGAGAGGAAGACACAGGGAGAAAGGTAGATGTCCCCTCCTTTCCATCCCCACAACCCCCACCCAGCCTGGGACCCCTCTTTTTCCTACCTAAAGACTGAAGCCACCTTATGGCCTCCTCCCTGCATCTTTCCTGCACTTGAGGCCAGAATCACCTTTCCATAGTCCAGCTCTTTCTTCATCCTTCCCTTGCTCAAGAACCTACCACCGGTCCCCTAAAGTTCCCATGACCAGGTCTAGATTGCCTCAGCGTGGCATTCATGTCTCTCTGTTGTCTGGTTCTACCCTCTCTTTCCAGACTCCCCATTCCCAAACACTCTCTCCACTGATCAGCTAAACAGAAGATTTTCCATCCACCCAATAGTCTCCTCATTCTCCCACTCTAGGACACTTTGCTCACATTTTGCCTAAAATGTCCTTCTTCTCACCCCTCATCTGCAACTACTTGAGTTCCCCCATCCTTCAAGGCCCTCCTCACATGCTGGAGGGGATCCTCCCTTACCCCCACCCCTTAGAAATGTTCTCTCTTTCCTATAAGCCCCCCACAATCTTGTCTCCCAGTAACCCTTTTAAACTATCAAAAGTATAATCAAATCCTTTTGTGGTTCCCTAATCGGACTGAGCGCTATCTGAGGACAGGGTCCTGGTCAGCTCTTATCACACCCTCCAAGGTCTGGAGCTGAACCCAGGTGGGCCCACCAAAGGCTCAGGGTAAAAACTGGAGGTGAGCAAATAGGTACTTAATGTACTGTCCCATACTGCCACCTGGTGGACAGCTGTGCTCAATTCGGCTAGCTTTGCTTCCCTAAGGCTAAAGGGGGTGTCACCCAGGCGACTGTAGGGAGAGCCTGAATGGGGTCCCCCAGAGTAAGTGTATCCACTATTGTTCTCTGCCTCCCTCAAGGGAGGGACAGAGCAAAATTCTTCTAGATCCAGCAGAAGGAATTCTGCGAAGAACTTCCGGTCCATCTGGTGTTTACTGGTCACTAGAAAGGAAGCTACCCACCTTCCAATCAAATCAAGATATGTCAGAGTTGGAAAGAACCCTCGGGGGCTTCTAGCTCTACCCTGGGAGGGAACAAAAGTCTCCCTTACACATACCCAACAAAAAGTCAGTCCAGGCTTCGTTTGGGGACCTCCCGTGAAGAGGAACCAGAAGCAGCCACTTTGGAGACCTTGAAGCCTTCAGTTTTTCTTTAAATCTTCCTCTCTGCCACCTCCACCCACTGCTCCTGGTGGTGTAATCCCTCTTCCCCACGACAGCCTTTAAAAATACGACGTTCCACTTCTCCAAGCTAACCAATCCCAGCTGGTCCTGGTGTTAGGGATAGGGAAAGCACTGTGTGTGTCCAGAAGGGGGCAATCCCAGCCCCCAAGGAGCCTAGTCTAGTCTTAGGGGCTCGACAGGCATAAATCAAGGAAATGGCCAGTTGACCTCTGCTGATGGGCTTCGGTTCTCAACATCAATCGTTTCTCATCAGCTGGGAACAGAACTCAGACACCCCAGGCTCTCGGCCTTGGCCCGGGATGTGCTAGGCAACACCCACCCAAGCTCATCACACACCGCTGGATCTCGCTCTTCAAGGTCGTGAATCCTTGAGAGGTCAGGTCATCTCCCAAGGAGGGAGACCCAGAACACGGAGGAAAACAGAGCTGAATGCGGGGAAGGTACAATCCAGAGCTGGATTCCTGGGTCCAGACTTGAGTGGCTAGGAGCCCAGAAGCAGGCAGGATCTGACTGCCCCACAGCAGTCAGAGAAGACTTCCTGGAGGAGAAGGCCCTTAGCAGGTAGAGCCAACGCTAAGATTTAAATTGAATTGCCCATCACAACCAGATGAATGACAAGGCAGCTTGTGCCTCATCATCTCCAAGGTTCTCTGTAAATGCCGAGTCAAGACTCCATGAGGTATCATGGGACCTGGGTTCACATCCCACCTGGGCAAATCACTTAGCTTCCCTGGCCCTAACTTCTCCAACTTTTAAATGAAGACTAGATGAGCTCTGATGTCACTTTCCACTCTAGATCTAAGACCTCAGTCCTCCACTGCTTCTAGGTTCCAGGTTTTAATGACTTTAATGACTCTTGAGGTTCTAAATACTTTGTAGCTTAAGGACTACATGGCCCTAAAGTTACCACAGTGGATATGGGACGGGTTTTGGAGTTAGAAGACCTAGATTAAAGGTCTGCCTCTGACACAGACTAGATGTGTGTCCCTGGGGCAAGTCACTTAACTTCTCAATGCCCTAAACAACCAATTCTCTTGGAGCTATTAAGTTACTGACAAGGGGCTAATCCAAATTAGTGGTGGGAATTTTCATACCCGGAAGTTTCCCAGAGGGGTGAAATAACAAGTCCAGATGACAAATAAAAGAATGAATTAATCCATTACTAAGAGTTCTCTAAGATTCTATAGTATTGAGATTCTGGGATACTAAGGATACTAAGGTTCTTTGCCTCTCTTTCCTTTTCTTTCTTTTTTTTTTAATAGGCAACTGGGGTTAAGTGGCTTGCCCAGGGTCACACAGCTAGTGTTAAGTGTTTTGGTCTGAGGCCAGATTTGAACTCAGGTCCTCCTGACTTCAGGGACAGTGCTCTATCCACTGCACCACCTAGCTGCCCCTTCCTCTCTATTTCTAACATTTTCTGGTTGCAGAAGTTCTAAGATTCTCGGGTTTACTGTGGTCCTCTTGGAGCTGTAGGATAAGCTACATGGAGGAGGAATGATGAAGCTCTGGGCCCAGGTGGGCAGGCAGGCATCTGACACCTTCCCAGGAAATTTCAGGGGCTTCTCAGAAAGGCTTATTATCCCTGCGTGTCTCCTGGGAAACAATGGGCTGTATTGACTGAGGGAGCGTAAGGTCCCTGCCACTCCCTGGAGATTCACACTGTCCAGGGTTAGTACTGAGCTGGGGCTAGCTGAAGGACTGGGCTCTGATCCATTTTGGACTTCTTGAGTATATCCCTTCCTCATCCTGAGCCTCAGTTTCTCCTTCTAGAAAAATAGGAGGTTGGACTAGAAGATCTTTAAGGGCCAATCCAGCTCTAATGTTCCATTCTATGGAAGCTGTGGGTGTTCAGTCATGGGGATGAACAGGGCTAAGTCTGTTGGCTTCAGTGTGGTGTCACTGATGTCCAGAGGAATCCAATTTATGATTTGTCTCACTGTTCTCTGACCATTGAACCCCCTGGCATCCTCTAGACCAGGGGTGGGGAACCTGCAGCCTCGAGGTCACATGTGGCCTTCTAGGTCCTTGGGTGCAGCATTTTGACTGAGTCCAAGTTGTACAGAACAAATACTTTTATTAAAGGGATTTGTTCTGTGAAGTTTGGATTCAGTCAAAGGGCCACACTTGAGGACCTAGAGGGTCATACATGGCCTTAAGGCCACAGATTCCCCACCCCTGCTCTAGACTGTGTGTGAATCCCTTCCTCTTCCACATATTCCATGGTCCCCAGAACACAAATCATATCATACCTTGCCAAACACAAGCCTTCTAGACACAGGGTAAAATATACAGATATATTTATATTATTTGTTTTTTTAAAAAGATCCTGGATGAAGGGAGAAGAGTAGGTAGAGGGTAAAATGGGAAAAATAGGAGAGTCTGCCCTCACCCATTCCAATGCTCCACAGCTAACCCTGCCACCCAGACCCCTAGGAGCTGAAACTCTTCTTCTGCAACACACACAAAGTCCAGGACAGAGAGTCTTGATGGGATGAGCAGCTGTAACCGGGCTTCCCCATGAAGCCTATGCCTCTCTCCCGTGGAGACTGAGAATATCTGGACCCCTCTCATCTCAGAGGTGCGAGGGGGCAGCACCTGGTCACGGTGGACTTTGAGCCTGTCAGAAAGAAGAGCAAATAGGTCATGAGTGGGGAAGGAAGTGGCCCCACTCCTTTCCAAAGTGGAGGAGTGAGAAGTTGCTGCAGATAGGCTTTGAACATTTGGGAAGAGTCAGATGACACAGCCTATGAGGTCTTGTCCAGCTTCGAGAGTCTGGAATAATAAGAGATTGGAAGACTGGAGGGGTCAAGAAACCAGAAAATGAGGACAGGACAGGGGTGACTGGGTGTGACTCCCACCCACTTTGCAAAGGGAGTAGAGGGGATTTTGTAGAGGGAAAAGAGAGTGCACCTGTCATGTGACCTGGGTTTTAGCCTAAGCATTCATTCTGGGATCTTGGCCAAATCCTTTGGGCTTCAGCGAAACGAGAGATTGGGAAAGGGGGGGGGGTTTGTTAAGGGAGGTAAACAGACTCAGAGTTCTAAGCTTGCTTCTGGGGCAGTTGGGTGGCACAGTGGATAGAGTGCTAGGCCTGCTGTCAGGAAGAATCTTTTTCAGATACTTCCTAGCTGTGGGCAAGTCACTTAAGAGTGGAGTTAAGAGTGGAGAAAGTTTAAGAGGATGAGGGAAGTAAGCATGACCTCATAGGATGCTAATTCTTCCTTTCTAATCCCTTAACTCTTTCAATACCCCTTCCCAGGCAAAACCACTCCAATCTAGGTTTCCCATTCCCTGCTTTTGTATCTATCCAGGGAACCCAAACATCCTAGAAGAAAAAGAGGGGGTAAAAGAGTAGTGGGGAATAGGCCATTTACACCACAGTGGAATCCCTTCCCCACCCTACCCCTTACCCTGGGCTTGGATCCCTCCAATTCACTCTCAGACATGCCCCAGGAGCTGAAGGGACAGACAGGGACCCTATTCTCACTGGTCTCCTGGGTACGTGGTGGGGAATGGGGGTGAGAGGGAAAGGGACATGTAAGACCTGTGGGAATGGCTCCATGGGCTCACTAGCAGGGTTTCAAAGGGGCACATTTCTTTTGGACCCACCCCCTACTTCCCACCCAACTTCTTTTAGGCCTCTTGCCCAGCTTCTACTAGGCCTGATGCCTGATTTTGTTTCAGCTTGCTGCCTGATTCTTTTCAGGCCTTAAGCATAAAGAGGGCCTTCACTGGTTTAAGATATCAGCGTGGGAAGAGAAAGGGAACAGGTCAGAACAGGTGAGGATGCCATTCTCTCCAGTCTTCTGCCTCTAAGGCAGCTTCCCCTGGGAAAGGTAGGAAAGCAGTGAGGGGGAGGAGGGTTTTACTTACAGACAAGAGGTCAGAAGTGAAGGCGGCCACACTCCTCCTCATCTCATTCTCACTGCCCCTCAGGGGGATGAGCGACACACTGCCCAGCCTTGACTCAGGTACAGGCCGAACCACCCTGGAGGGCTCAGAAGGCCAGACAGTCCCGCCATGCTGGGGCAGGCAGGCAAGCAGGCAGGAGAGCCAGCAGTTAGGTCAGTGGGTGACATGACCCAATCATCAAACCCCTAGGACTCACTAACCATGCTCCTCGGCCTTCCTTCCCTCCCTCCTCAGACCTTTCTGCCAACCCCACCCACCCCCAGGCTATTTCCCTTCCCCAACCTCTCCAAGTTTCTCCCCTCCTGGTTCCCCACCAGTCTTGTCCCTCCTGGCCCAATACCTGTACAAGGAAGAAGGTGGCGAACCACTCTCTGAGCTCCATCTGGGTGTCACAGCAAAGGTACCTAAAGCAAGAGGGGTGTGAGTGGTACGTGAACACATCTTACTGAAGCCTGGGAAAAGGACAAGCTGGGCTCCCCATTCAGGACTTTAGAAATCTTCAAGTCCAGTGTTCTTTCTTTACAGATAAGGAAACCAAGACCCATAAAGAAGAAAGGAATTGCCCAAAGTTACACAGGTAGTCCAGTAGAAGGGCCAGGATGTGAACTTGGGTTCTCTTCTCCAAATCTTAGGTTCAAAGCTTCACAGCTTTAAAGCTAAAAGGGACTTTAGAAACCATTCAATCCAATCTCTTCATTTTACAAATGAGGAAGCTGAGGCAGACAGCAGTTAAATGACTTGCCCACAGATACACAGCTAGTAAGCATTAGAGATTTGGTGAGATTTGAACCCAGGTTCTTGGCCTCTAGAGTTCATACTCCTTCCATTTTGCCAGACTGTTCTTCCTCCTGCAACACATCTTCCTCCTTAAGTAGACAGCCATCCTTTACCCACCTCCTAGGCTAGGGATCTGATCAATATCTGTTATGTGTGTTCCATCCCCATTACTCAGCCACATTTGCTACCTCAGACTGGAGCCTTGAACCCCCTACTCACCACTGCTGCCTCTCGTGTTTCTCTGTCTCGTGCACCACAGTGAGACCCCAACTAAAGGGAGAGAGAAAACAGGTGAAGGATTCGGGCCAGGGGCAGGTCTCCCCCACCCCTCCTTCATCACTTAGCAACAGGAAGCATCGTTGGGTTGCCATGGAGATCTCTGGGGAACCTGCAGGCAAGCAGATGGGGAACTGCATGCCTTCTCTTCCCTCCATCTGCCACATGTTGGGGGTTGGGAGCCAGGGGACCCATAAGCTTAAAGCCCAGAGCTTGGCCCTCCTTGCCAAGGGACACCCCCACTCACCCCGACCCTTACTCACCATGTTTCAAACTAAGCTCCTCCTCTCATTCCTGCTTCTACGATTTTTGCCAAGGTATTCCCCTGCCTAGAACGGGCCCTTGCCCTTCCCTGCGCCTCTCCAAATCTCATCTTTTGAGATCTACCCCCAGTCTCACCAACTTCCTCCATCATCACTGGCCAACATAGACCTCTCCTTTCCTCTCCTCCCTCTCTGACATCCTAAAGTACTTAAGAGCCTGACCTCAAAGACCGGGGCCGTCTGTCACCCCAGGGGCTCCCTGAGGACTGGGCCTTGTCTCCTTCATGTACCAGAAGCCTCCAAATTACCATGTCTCCCCAGTGAGATCTGCCCTGAGGAATGCCGAGTCCTATCATCTCTACCTTCACAGTATCTCTCCAGTAACACTGGCCACTCTCCCTACTTCAGGTCCTCCTCACCTCATTCCTAGACACACTTAGCAAAGTGTCTGGTACATAGTAGGCTCTTGTTAATGCTTACTGACTGACTGACCTGGACTATTGAAATAGCCTCCAAAATTGTTCTCACTGCCTCAAGTCTCTCTCCACTCCGATCTACCCTCTATTCAGTGGCAAAAGTGATTCCCCTTAAGTACAGGTCAGTCCACATCACCTCCTTCCCCCCAGATACTCAGTAAACTCCATTAGCTCCCTGTTCCCTCCGGGACAAAATACGAAGTCCTCCTTTTGGCAGTGACAGCTCTTCAGAACCTGGCCCCTTCTCATCTGTCCAGTTTTCTCATACTGTATTCCCACCTTCACTCGCTTTACCAACTACACAAATGAGCCACCTTGCTGCTCTTTAGATGTGACCCTTCACGTACATCTCCATGACTTTGCATTAGCTTGTCTGTCACACTGGTAACACTCCCTCTCCCTCCTTCCTCACCCACACCCCTTAAATCCCCAGGCTCCTTTCAAGACAGCTCAAAATCCAGCCTCCGGCCAAAAGCAGTCCCTTCACAGTTCCTCCAGCTGTCCGTGCCTTCCCCTCTGAGATGATTTATTTCCATGCTGTCTCCCCAACGAGAATAAGCTCTGTGACGGCAGGGACTGTTTTTGCTTTCCTTTGTAGCCCTAATGCTACATTAGGCCCTGAGGCCACATGTGGTCTTTTGACTGAGTCCACGTTTTACACAACAAATCCTTTTATCAAGGGGATTTTTTTTTCTGGGAAGTTTGGATTCAGTCAAAGGCCCGTACTTGAGGACCTAGAGGGCCATAGTGGCCTCCAGGCCGCAGGTTCCCCACCCCCGCCCTAGTGCTTAGCGCAGTGCCCCACACAATTGTTAAGTGTTTAATAAATACTGGTTGGTTGGCTGGTAGATTGATTGACATTCTGCTGGACTTACCAGGTAGGTGGTCGTAACTTCTTCTTCACCCCCAGGTAGACTTTGAGGCTCTTTATAGGCCATTCCTTTTCTGGCTTGTGACTCTAAGAGCAGGGAAGCCAGATAGAGATAGAAGAGGGAAGGGAGGAGAAAAGACAGAGTGAGAGGGCCACCTCAGGCTGGGTCTGGGAGGGTGAACAACATAGAACACGCTCCCACTGGCCTCTGGGTGAAACTCAGTCTCCTATTACCCTAAGCAGGCTCCCATCTCCTCTTCTTGCTTCTCAAATCTGACCTGTACCTAAACCCAAACAGGCGGTCCAAACTGAAAAGGTCTTTAGAACAGTCAGAGCTGGGGAGGGACCTTAGAATAGGGAACGTCAGAGATGGGAGGGACCAGAGAACATCAAAGCTGGAAAGGACCTTAGAACAGGAAATGTCAAAGCTGGGAGGGACTTTAGAACAGGGAATGTCAGAGATGGGAGGGATCTCAGAACAGAGAATATCAGATCTCGAAGATTACCTAGAGACCACTAAGCTCAGCTCCCTGATTTGTCATACCAAGAGATAAATTAAGGGCCAAAGAAGGGGGGAGTATTATATTCCAAGTCAGACAGAAAGCTGGAAGAAACCCAGGTCACCCCACTTGGTCCCTGCTATCCCTATTACCTCACTACCTTTCCCAGCTCCTTTTTCACCATGACTCCCAATCCCAGTCCTACCCTCTCTAACCTTCAAAACACTAGGCTACCTCCTGCACAAAACCTTCTCAAGGCTGCTCTCCACCCAACTGAACCCAGCTTCCTCAATCAGTATGTGCTCTTGTCACCTGCATCCCCACAGATCCTTGAGTTCCCTCCTTCCCTCCCCCATGTGCCCCTCCCCTAAGGTTGGGGACTCCCCACACTTGGCACCATCAGACAGTCAACTCTCAATGATCTGCAGCCTGACATTCACAACCCAACTGGCCATGCTATTGGCTGAAACAGTTATGGACAGCACTTATCCAAAAGGGGGCGCTACCTACTCGAAGTGGCAACCACGGCAATCAATCATCACGGCAGCTGATGTTCCTATAACATTTTACGGTTATTTCTAAAGTGTTACTTGATTTGATCTTCACAGGCACCCTGTGAGGTAGGCAGGTTACATATAACTTTCCCCCTTTTACAGAGAGGCAAACTGCAAGGCCCAGAAGGATGAAACAACTTCAAAAGCCATTAGACAGATGAACCCTAAATGGGATTTAGGTCTTCTAATTCCAAATCTGGGAACACTTCCCATTACCTGATGTTTGACTCCTCCCCTGCCCCACTCAGTCATTGTGGAGAACAAATAAGGATAATGATGACGCATTTGTAAAATACCTTAAGTGCAAAGCGCTTTATAAATATTATCTCATTTGATCCTCACAACAACCTTGTGAGGTAGGAGCCATTTATGATTCCCATTTTACAGATGAGGAAACTGAGGCAAACAGCAGTTAAGGGGACTTGCCCAGCATCACAGGGCTATTAAGTACCTGAGGCAGCGTGTGACCCCAGTCCTCCTGACTCCAGGTCCAACATTCTATCCACTATACATCTCAGCTGCCTAGAATTGAGGGTTGACTGTGTGAGGGGAAAGGCCCAGCTCTAGGCCTGTGAGCAGGGGCCCCAGCTTTTCTTCAGCTCTGCTGGGAACCCATTAAAAAAGGGGGGGAACACATCAAAGCTGCGGCAAGCCAGGCAAGGTCAAGACTTCCTGAAGGACAGAGTTGGCACATATAGGCTGACTGATGGAGGTTGGGGGGATTGGGCCCCCTGACTTGTGATCCAGAGTGAGAGGGGCTTCCCAAGACTCCCTACCTCAGTCAGCCCTCTCTCAAAGGTTGGCTGGCCCCCTCCCCTCAGGCCTCCTGTGGAATAGCAAGGGGAGATAAAACCACTTACAACCGGAAACTGGGGTCAGAGGCTGGGTCTGTTCCTCCCCCCACCCAGCATGAGCCCTTGGGTACAGCTCCTCGGGAAGAAAGGAGAGAGGAAATAGGGAGAGAAAGGGAATAAACATTTATATGGAGCCTACTATGTGCAAGGCACTTTACAAACATTTAACCCTCACTACAGTCCTGTGAGGTGGACGCTATTATAATCACCATTTTGCAGTTGAGGAAACTGAGGCAAAGAGGTCAAATGACTTGCCCAGGGTCATACAGCTAGTAAGTGTCTAAGGCTGGATGTGAACTCAGGTCCTCCTAACTCTAAGCTCAGCCAGTGCTCTAACCACTGTGGCACCTACCTGAACAGAAAATAATAATAATAATTCTCATTTCTCTGGCACCGGACAGTTTACAGAGCACTTTCAATACAAGAGCCTTATGAGAAGAGGAGGGAACAGTTTATTATGCACTTCACAAAGGAGGAATACAAGACTCAGAAGGTGGTATGATTTACCCTGGGTATTTAAACACCCACAGTAAAAAACTCTAAGCACATTCAGGTTGGCAAAGCTCTTCCTTGGCAGATACATAGTAAGTACACTTTATAAACGTTTGTTGCATGCTAATGCTGCAAGGTAGGTTGTGCAAGGATCACAGAGCCATGAAATCTCAGTTGGAAAGGGACCTAGAAGGACCAACCTGTCTAGACTCACCTGTGTCTTCTATACAAATACCTGAGCAGTGGCCTCGAGCAGTGATGGGGAAGCCTACTTACTGCCTCGAGGGGCAGCCTATGACTCTTGTGAGCAGCTCTAAATGTTAGGCAGTTTTTCTTGACGTCCAGCCTAAACTGGCTTCTTTGGAATTTCCACCTTGTATCGCTAGGGCCCCCCAGGGCCAAACAGAACACGTCTAAACTATTGTCCATGGGATAGCATCCCAAGTGCTAGAAAGGAGTGATCATGTCCCACCTGAGCCTTCTATTCTCCAGGATAAACACCCCATTCCTTCAGCTCACCCTCAGAGGACATGGCCTCAAGACTTCTCTCCATCTGATTGCCCTCCCCCGGATACTGTCTAGCATAATCATGTCCTTCTTCCATTGCAATGACCAGAACTGAATATAAGGGCAGATTCCTACCCCCAATTTTGCAGCTGAGGAAACAATCTCTGGCAGGGTCGTCCAACTAAAATACACCTTGGGACTGGGGGGTGGTGTAGGGCAGGGGGAGGAGGTTGACAAGACAAGGGTTTCCAGGGATTACTGGGCTCCCTTTGTGACATCACTATGGTGTATAGGGAGAGCTTTATGCAGTGGGGGTAAGGGGGAGCAGAACGTTCTTCACTGCCTTCTTCCACGATTTCTACCAGAAAAGGAGATATATTCCACTGTGTCATCCAGAGCTTCCCCGAGCCCTGAAAATGGGTTGGTCTCTAATGAAACCTATGTGAGCTCAAGCAGCAAGCATGGAAGAAATTGGGCTGCAGGCCTGGAAAAAATGCAGGCTATGCATCCAGGCCAAGCTGGGCTGAGGGTACAGGCTGAAGCCAGACTCTGACCCCGGTGGAAGTCAGTGCACACACCACTGCAAACAAGCTGATCTGTACGCATGGAGGACACAAGGGAGAAGGTATGGAAGAGACTAAGTTCTGACTTAAGAACATACTGGACTACCAGCATGAAGGGAGCCAGGAGGCAGGGCTGTCAGAAACCAGACTTTGGGCATGGAAGAAACTTTCTCTCAGTCCTGGAAAAAACAACATCTGAGAAGGAGCCAAAAACCAACCGAGGGCAAGGAAGAACTCTGATTTTAGAAGGGAAGAAACCAGGCAGTATACAGTCAGACCTCCAATGGATTATGACTGTATACCCTCCGCCTTCATACACCATCCCATCCCTGGCCTGACCTGTCTTAAGGCACCCGACACTCCCAGTCAGACATAAGACAGAGGTGATCCTTTCTGCTAAGGGAACACTAGATCCATAAATGAACCACAATCCCATGCAAGAAGGCTGAAGTGTATGTAAATCAGGATGTTCAAATGTCATCACTGTAAATGAGGAGTTAGAATGTTTGAGTTGGGGAGGGGGGAAGGAGAGAGACAGAAAGAGAGAAGACATACAGAGAAATGGAGAGAGAAAGGGAGGGAGGGAGGGACAGAGAGAGAGTAAAGACAGAAAGAGAAACAGAAGTGGAGAGAGGGAGGGAGAGAGGGGGAGGGGGGAGGGGGGAGAGAGAGAGAGAGAGAGGTGGAGAGAAAAAGAGAGAGGATAGAAAGAGAAAAAGGAAGAAATAAGTAGAAAGAGAGAGAGAGGAAGGAGAAACAGAAAAGTGAAGAGAAAGAAAGACAGAAAAAACAGAGAAGTGGGAGAGAGAGGATAGAAAGAGAAAAAGGAAGAAATATATAGAAAGAGAGAAAGAGAAGAAGGAGAAACAAAGGGAAAAGTAAAAAGAAAGAAAGCAGAAAGAGAGAAGTGGGAGAGAGGGATGGGGAGAGAGAGAACAGACAAAAGAGAAATGGAAAGAGAGAGGACAGACAGAAAGAGAAAGAGAGAAATGGAAAGAGAAAAAGATAAAAGACAGAAACAGAGAAAAGACAGAGAAACAGAGAGGGGAGAGAGAGAGACACACACACAGAGAGAGAGACAGAGAGAGAGAGAGAGAGAGAGAGAGAGAGAGAGAGAGAGTAGGTGCCTAACCTCCAATTCCCCTATTACACAGAGAAGGAAGCTGAGGCCCAGAGGAGATAGAAGACACTTGCTTAAGGGGACACAGTGAGTCAGGGACAGAGACGGAAATCAAACCCTGGGCTCCCGATTCCCAGCCCAGGACTCTTGCTTAGCCCGAGAGGGCAGACCTCAGAACTACTGGGGCAAGGAAGTCATTGTAGAGAGAGCTCTATGTATAGAAAAGTTTTCTAGGTAATTGAGAGCTCTCCTAGACTGGGACAGACTGGGAACATTTGTGCCACAAAGTAACTTCAGAAATTCAAGGGTTCCCTAGTCTAGAGATGGTTTACTTTTATATGGGTATGTCAGTGCCCTTCCCTGGTGCCACTGTCTTCTCCCATGTGGAAAAAAAAAACCCCAACAACCTAGGAAAGCCATATGATGGAGCAGTGGGAAGAAAGAAAGAGAAAAGGGGGACCAAGTAGGCACTCAGTCTTAGTGGTAGAAGAAGGAGGGGAAGATCACTGGGAAATCCAGTGTGACCGATTCCTGAGCATGGTGATCAGGAAAACTCCAGGGAGCTTGGCTGCGGCCCTTGATTTGAGGCAAGTTTGGAAAACAGCAGAAATAGGGAAGATCAGAAAATCGTGAAAGCTGTGACAGAGCCTAACGGCTAGTTCCCGCACTTTACAGAGAAGGAAAGGGAGGCCTGGAATGGGGCATTTACCCAAAGAGACACAGGGAGTAAGCAGCAGAGCCTGTGAATCAAACTCAAATTTCCTGACTCTTTTTGGAGGCTCTCATTTAGCCCCAGGGTTAAATAGAACTCAGAGCACTTTGGTAGATACTACAGAGACAAATGTTAGCTCCATGTTTAAAAAAAAAATAAGCTTTCTAAGAACATAGCTGAGAGATTCTGGAGGACATCAGCTGACTAACGCTGGCTTTTACCCTGGGGCAGAATACAAGGTCCAGTGGAGAAAGGGAGGCTGGTGATGTGGGGAGCTAACTTCTAAGGTCCGGAGCAGGGGGGATGGGAGGGAAGCCTGCCCCAGCAGCTCCTCAGAGCTGAGCCCCACTGCTAGTTCACTGGGAGCCCAGGAAAGGAAGGAGAGATAAGCAGGGAGTCAAGGGGGACCAGGCAAAGAGGGGACTTGTGTAGACCCTTCAAGATGCAAGAAAGTCTCTTTTTATTTCTATCTTTGGACTTTTCATAGATCTGGGTTCACAGATCTGGAGCTAGAAAGGATTTCAGAGGCCAAGTAGTCCAACCTCCTCATGTTACAGACAGATGAAGAAACTGAGTCCCACAGGGGTTGGGGGTCAGCTCAAGGTCACACAAGCAGTAAGTGGCAGAGGCAGGACTTTTACTCAGGTCCTCCTCACTCATTACTCAGGGATGTGTTAGAGCCAGCTTAAAATTCAATTGTTAAATTTTAAAATATTCAGTGTGAACATTTACACCTTGAAAATGTGCAAATGCTACAAAGCAGGGTTTGATTTATTATTCAGTGATTTCTAGACTCGAGAAAGTCATGAAGAAAATATTAATAATGCGCATTAAACTTTAAAAGTGTGTCATGCATTGGAGAGCCAGTTGTTAAATATTTACCAGCACACCCTTGCTCTAATTCCTTTGCTCTTTGCCTTGAGCAAATCTGGAATCCATAACCCCTGCCTCCTCCCCCATTCCCAGCCCTGACCTGACCTGTCTTCAGGGCACCCTGAATACTGCTGGCAAAACATCAGAGGGGGGTGATCCTTACTGCCGAGGGGCAGCTAGGCCCATAAATGAATCAGCACACCCTGTTTATGAGCCACTCCCTCCCCCAGGTCTTATTATCTCTTGGCTCCAGAGTTCATAGAATCGTAGGGTTCAGGACTCAAAACTATTGATTTGGAGGGGGAAGGTGACCTTAGAGATCATCTATTCCAACTTCTTTTTTTTTTTACAGATGAGGAAAGAGAGGTCCAGAGAGAAATGACTTGCCCAAGGTCACACAGGGAGTAAAAGTCAAGAGTGGGGATTTTCTAAGCTAGGTCCTCTGACTCTAAAAACCCAGCATTCCTGAAATGATAATAATAGCAACCCACATTTCTATAGCTTTGCAAAAAACACTCTGCAGAGCTTATCTGAACCTCACAATAGCTCTATGAAGTAAGCAGTACAGGGATTATGATCCTCTTTTACAGAGCATGAGAAAACGGAGGCCCAGAGAGGTACTTATGAGTGCACAGATAAGTGTCATCAAGGTTTTGAGCTCTTGTCTCTCCTGACTCCAAGTTAAGCCTTCATTCCACTTACCCCAAACTGCCTCCCAGAACTGATGAATCAGAGACCCACAGAATCCTAGCTTTGGAACAGAAGATGGAGAAAATACAGGCCTCTGTCTTGTTTGAGCAACTAGGTGGCACAGTGGATAGAGTGCTGGGCCTGGAATCTGGAAGACTCATCTTCCTGACTTCAAATCTGGCCTCAAGAGAATTACTAGCTGTGTGACCCTGGGCTTTAGTTTCCTCATCTGTAAAATGAGCTGGAAAAGGAAAGAGCAAACCACTCCAGTATCTTTGCCAAGAAAACCCCAAATGAGGTTACGAAGAGTCAGACATGACTGAAAAATGACTCAACTGTCTTCTTTGAAGAACTGGAAAACTCTGAGTCTGGAACGTGGGAGACGCTATCAGATCTTATGGATGTGTTGACTAGCTTTGCTTGTATTGGCCAAAACCAAAACGCTTTTTTCTTTGTTTCAAGGGATGAGTAGAGGAAGGGGAGGGATACATTCAGAAGGGAAAAGGGTGTGACATACAAACAAAAGATAGAAATAAAAATCAATAATTTGAAAAAAATAATAATCCTAGGCTTCCAGAATCTTAGAATCTTGGGCTGATAGAATCTTGGATTCTTGGCTCTCTGAGCCAGAAGGGAGCTCAGAGGTCATCTCCAGCCCAGCTTTCCACACACTGCAGGAAAGCCCTAGACATGAGCACTCAGATGCAGTTATCAGTAATAAACATTCCCCAAAAACTGAAAAGGACTGTGTGCTTTCTTAAGGGGGAAAGAGAGTAGCACTGGTCCAGATGTGCTGTTTGAAGTGGTCTACTTGGAAACGCTCAGGTCAGTCTGGGACAATCCGTCCTTTGTGAAGAAGAGAGGCTGTAGGGGAGGACGGAACAGGGGGGCAGTGAGAGAAACTCACACTTTTGAGTTTTTCTTGAAGATGGAGACTCTCAAATCTGACTCTGGGCCTCTGGGAACCTGGAGATTCAACATTAGCAGCTGTGCATTTTTGTACAGGGTTCATGCTTGAGAGAAGGAAGCAAAAAGGAGTCAGGATGGAGACCGTCCTTAGGGAAAGGGAGGACAGGATGAGATCCAGGAGCAGCAGCCCCCAGGAAGAGCCATACTCAGCTTTGACTACAAACAGAAGAGGCCTAGGACAGGCCTGGAGGCTAGGAAGGGTGGCTGCAGGGCCATAGCGACTGACCCAGCTGGCTGCCGCTACATCAGATGGAAGCTGATTAGAAAGGAATAAAAAGGTAAGGCTGATCAGCAGTTCTGAGTGCCAGGCCTAAGTCAGGCAGCTTGGCAAGAGGAGCTGATGTTGCTCCCTGGCACCAGGAGGTCATAAGAAGCAGGAGCCAGGGCTACGAGGGCCAGGGAGTTCAGATGCCTTGACCCAGGGAAGAGCGGCCAGATCTCTCTTCACATCTCCAGAGAGAAGAATCTCGGGACGGTAGAACAGGAGACTCTGAATTCCCGACTACACAAAGAGGTCAGACAGAGGCAAAGAACAACTTCCTTGGGGCCAGGAGACTGAAAACCAGGAAAGGCGAGGGAGCCTCCCATCTCTGAAGGCCAGCAAGAATGAGAAGAGGCAGCCAGATGAATCAGAGAGCACTGGGCAGGGAGCCAGGAGGGCTGTGCCTCAGAGACGTTGAGGTACCATGAAGAGGAAGCTGGACACAGCCTCAGGAAGACCTGTGTTCAAATCCCAAATCTGACACTCTCTGAGGGACCTCAGGCACCCCAGAGGAGCCACTAAAGCTCTCGGAGCCTCAGTTACCTCAGCTGTAAAATGGGGATAATAACAGCTCAGCTCATTTATAATTTACACATATTTTATGTTCACGACACACGGATCGCCTCTCTTTGAATGTCTACATGTAGGGGTGGGGGAAATCAGTGTTGAGAAATGACAGGTAGAGAAGAAGGAAAACCAAAGAGGCCCCCACTCTCCAGAACCAGGCCTTAGTTTGCAAAAGGCTAGTTGGAACCCAGACATCTGAGCTGAGAGGGAGCACGAAGGGAAGGGGGAAACTAGGATCTCTGAAGCATCAGGCTAGAGGGGAGGACAGGGGAAGGGGAGGGGGAAGTGAAAATGAAAGTAGGATCATCCAATCCAAGAGCTATAAGGGCCCGACCCATTCGTTCTACAGATGGGGAGAGTGAGGCCTGGAGAAAGGAACAGACCTGCCCAGGGTTACACAGCGGGTCTGTGGCAGAGCTGGGATTGGAACCCGGGGATCCTGACTCCCAAACCAAGAGGACCGGCTCCGTCCTCTAAACCACAGCCAGCTGGAGGCGGGGGCAGGCATGGTTGCCTGATGCTGCAGAGGCACCAGAGGCTAAGGGGAGATGTGGCCAGGACAGATGTGGAAGGAGGATACAGGCAGCTGTGTCTGAGCTGAACTTGGCAGATATCCCTGACAGAAGCACAACTTCCAACTGAGCTGAGCTTCACGTACCTGGGAAGCTACGGAGAAGGAAAGCAGGGACGGGGAGAAGCCAGGAGAGGGGAGGAGAGAGAGGAGCTGTGCCCATCATGCCACGCCCAGACCCATCCCCGGCCCAACTCTTCCCCTCGGTGTGTAAGGCAGCAATGCCGCAGCAGCGCCAGCCAGCCGCTGGAGCTGGCCTGAGGCTCGGTTACTACTCACGTTCTCAAGGCCCCCACCGTGCTGCTTCAGGTTCTGTTTGATAGAGGATTGCGGGGTTATGGGAGCCGGGATGGGGGGTGCATCCCTGGTGGGGCTGAGACAGAACAGGGAGCAGGACCATGTGCATGGGGGGAGCCGATGGTTATCGTGGCTAGGATGAGTCAGGCGTATGTGACTGGATGCAGGGCTGCATGGATTACCATGAAAAATGTGCCCACCAACACAGAGCATGTGAGCTGTGGCAAAGGATGACACAGGTACACGCCATGACCAAGTACACACAGTACATACATGTGCATGCTGTGACGAGCACACCAAGAAATATGGATCTGAGGCCTGAGAAAGAACAGGTACACATGTCACAGGAAGGGGCATGGCCCATGCCCACAGGAGGGTGTCTCCTCCAGAGAGGTCTCAGAGACCCATACCATCTCTCACTCAATAACACAGGGGAGTCAAAGGCAATCTAGGAGTAACCCAGAAAAACAGTAAAACAGTAACCTGGCCCTGACTGAGAAGGAGCCCAGTCAGTGTGTGGGGGTCTGAATGCACAGGCTACAGGGGGATGGGAGAGGAGCTGACCCATTACTCACTCTGATTTCCTTGAAGAGCCTTAGGCAGCTGCCATTAAGCATGAAGTAACGGTCGTGGAAGCTGCCCGTGGAGAGGCCCAGGCCCAAGAGGCTGCGATCCTCACGGAACTTCATCATGCCATGCTTGGTGTCCCCCACCTTGCTGGCTGGGGAGGGAGGACAAGGACAAGGGGGATGCGGGGAGAGGCTGCATATCCTGCCTCCCCCAAGAACACAGGCTCCCTGAAGGAAGAGCTATGACCCCACCCCCACCAAAAGCTGGGAGTGCCTAAGGGCGGGAACATGTCTCCCTCAGACTAGAGGCTCCCTGAGGGCAAAGCTAAGTCTGTCCCTCAGACATGGTGGTTACTGAGGACAGGAGCTGTAGCTCTCCCTAAGATAGGAATTGGAATACACAGAAGGGACAGAATCTGGCCAGTGCCTGAGAGTAGAAGTGATAGTACCCTGGAGTGGGGAAGGGGAGAGGGTAACTAGGTAGGAAGCTTCTTACCTAGGTACATGAGCATGGCCTCCATGGCCAGGTACTTCTTTACCACCAGATGACTGTCAGTCCCTAGGCTGTGCAAGATAGGGAGGACCTTCTCAGTGTAGTGCAGGGGCCTCTCTGTGGAGAACACCATTATCAACAATGCTATTAATGCCAACATGGTACCAGTCTAGCTACTATCATCTCCACAGCTGCCACTGGCACAATCACTATCATCTCTGTCTCCAACATGGTAGTCATCACTATTATCACCATATCTTTGATCATCACTATTGCCTTCATCATCTCCATATAAATCACTGGCACCATCCTTACCTTCTCCTCACCATCTCCATCATCACCACCATCACAACAGTTATCATAACTGTAATCATATCTTTGATCATCACTGTCACCTTCATCATCTCCAATCAATCACCAGCAATAGCACCTTCATCACCAGTATCACTATTACCATCTCTATCAAGGCAATCACCACCACAACCATTGTACCATTCTTATGATCATCCATCTACATCAGAATCATCACCGCCTTCCTGGTGAGGAAAACTAGGAACCACAGGAGGAAAGCCATGATGGAGAACATTTGGATGAAGGTCAAAGGAAACAGAAGTACTTTTGTCATAGGAGTATACTACAGACCACGCAGACAGAAGAAGAGAAGAGATGAGGAGTGGGAAATAGATAATAGATCTGACATGGGGTATGATGTAGTGATGGGAAACTCTAACTATTGCCAGAATTCACTCTCTGCCAAAAAGCAAAGAAACTAAGGAATTCTTGGCTTGCATTAATGATAGTTTTACCCTTTGGAAGGTAGAGAAAGTAGGGGAGGGGGAGCTGTTATTTTGCATCTAAGTCTAACCAAGCAGGAGGTGCTAGTTGCTGAGGAAGAAACCACAGGAATCTTGGGGGGAAGTGACCACTTGGTAGGAGAGCTCATGATAGAGAAGAGACAAACTTGGTTTAGTTGTACATCTACCCTAGATTTTGGGAGAGCAGATTTCAAAATCAGAAAAAAAGAGAGGCAGGATTCCATGGTCTAATATCCTCTAAGGAAAGTTGGTCCAGAAGAGAAAAGAATTGAAAAATTAAATTTTAACTCTGACAAAGGAGAAAGAAAACAGGAAGCTATGTAAACAACCATATGAATTGTTCCCATTTAAATTGCTGTTGTAGGCACTTTCCTTATAACAATGCTGTGATGTAGACAGACTGATTTGGGCTGATGGTACCAAACCCTGGAACACAAAAGAGATTCCTAAATGAGATTTACAATCACTCAAAAGAGTTCATCCTAATGATCTTCATAGGAAAGATCAAGCGAATAAAGGAATTGGATGAATAACCCAAAAAGCTGATCCACTGATACATATATCTTAGATAGACACTGCAGTGGGACAATTAATTGGGCCTAGAATTTGATGAGGAGGAAAAGAACAGGCAGTATTGGTATATTGGAAACTATAACTCTTCCCACAATCCCAAGCTATCCCCTGAAACAAAAAATCATCTTTTTAACACCAATTTTAACCCTCTTCTGGTGACTCTATATGGCTTCAAGTCATGGTGCACCACAACCTACAAAGACTTAAAATCATAGGACACTCAAAGGACAATCGGAAAATGCATGGTGGGCGTAAATAGGCTGGCAGCACATTTCCAATAATAACTTCTGCATGCAAGATGTTGTGTAAGAGATATTCAGGAAACCGATGCATAGTGAAGTCAGCAGACCCAGGAAAACAATATCCACAATGACTACAACAACGTAAATGGAAACAACCACCACCACAAAACAACCAAAATTGAATGTTGTGAAACTGAAGAACATGTTTAGTTAGCCCTAGTGAAGAAATACAAGACACCTTCCCCTGTTCCTTTGCAGCGGTCTACGAGGTTGGAATGATGCATATGCCAGACGGTTTTGGTGTGTTGATCAGATTTTGCTGAGTTTCTTTTTTTCTTCTTTCTCTTTTTCTTTTTTTTTTAATTAAAAGAAATTTTAAAAAATTCTTTGTTATAGAGGATAGCTCTATGAGAGGTAGGAGGAGGGATACAGGGAGAAAGCTAGGTGATATACAAACAAGAGATACCCAAGAGATGTATGATAAGAAAGGGAGGTGAGCCAGTCACCTAGCAAAAGCAAGAGAGATGGCCCAAGCCCTGTTCAGGTATCCCCACAAAGTTAAAAAGACCTACAGTAGGAGTTCTTGATGTGTTTTTTGTTTCATCAGTCCTTTTGGCAGTCTGGTGACCCCTTCTTAGAATAATGTTTTTAATTACACAAAACAATACATAGGATTACAAAGAAAACCAATTATATTGAGATAAAGATGTAATTTTTTTAACATCCAACTTCACAGGCCCCATGAAATCTATCCTGGATGCCTTGAGGGGTCTCTGACCTAGAGAGAAGGCCTCTAGCATACCACGTGAGTCCTGTTGGAAAAATTTATGGGAAACACAGAAAAGAGTTGCACAGGACAAGAAGGTGGAAGTTTTGATTTGCAGCATCTAAAAGATGCCTGGAAGCAGAAGAGGTCCCCAGAAGGTGGTAGATCCCTCCTCAATGGAGGTGCTCAAGTAGAGAATGAATGGCCCCTTGGGGAGATGTTGTAGGGAGGACTTCTGTTCAGGTATGAATCAGACAGTTGCACCTTGGAAGTCCTTTGCAACTCTGAGATCTGTGATAACCATCATCAAGTATCATCACCACTTTCCTCCCCTTCATCATCACCTCCCAGTCACCATGGTCACCATCATGTCACTATTCCCACCCTAGGACATGGTGGTACGCTCCCAAGTGTCTACAGCCCTCATCCCATCACCATCACGATGTTACGGAGCCCCTGAAGTTATGACTGCCATGATGCATTTTATAATGTCTACTTTGTCATTTCTATGACCTTTCTTAAGACTTGTATAAGGATATGATTGCTTTTTGCAATTTTATAACTACAAGTGTCATCCTTCTTCTGGGGCATGTAAATGAATTGACACTGCTTACCAGAGAACATATACTCACATACACACATTTATATGCAGCTATATTAATAACTGAAGCCTCCCCCACCCCTTGGGGATCCTTATGTTTTCTTCCTCTCCTCTATACAATCTGAGTTAACATTCATACACAGAGTCCCCAGGGGAAAAGCTATAAGCATCTCCATCAAAGGGTCTTTGATTTTCACTTGAAAGAATGACCTGAGGCCATCCTCTTGGCAATAGCCAGGCAATTTTGAGGCAGAATTCCCTAGGAAGCTTCATGCCCATATTAACCAGTTAATCTCTTATGTACCTGTGTGATTATAATTGCTTCTGACTTTCTTTTGCTATAAATAAGATAAGAAGGTCTTCTTGTCTCCCCAAATATAACTCTGCATAAGGACTGAATTCAGCCCAATTTGTCTGTCTCATAGTACAAGGCGTCATAGATAAAGTACTCTACTTTTGTCTCCTTTGCTAGCCAACTCTGAGTAGACTGGGGAACACTCCAATTTCATATTCTCATCCCTCTCAACAAATTACCATGCTCAATGATCCTAAAGTTCAGATATGGAAACAGACAGATAAAATCATGCTACTGGACATCCTACTGAATCTCCTAAAGAGGGGGGGAAGAGGGGCTTGTACAATAGGGGAATAACTTAGAGAGCTGCCACACCATCCCCCCAACCTAGAAGAAGATTTGGAAGATATAGCACCCACCCTTCTCCTGTCTCTAGATTTCTGGAGGCTTCAGTTACAGCATATTATTTAATAAATTTCATTTGGATATATGTCTTGTGCATGAATTTTCTCCTTTTCACTCTCTTAGTACAGATGTAGAGTTACCATATAATCACTCCTTTAGAGAAGCGTTTGCTGTCAAATGTAGGACCTGAAATGGGTGGGAGAAACTAATCAAGTCTCCTCATTTTACAACTTCTAGTACTCACACAGAGAGCCGTCATTCAAATTGCTGCAGTGAATGAGTCACATGACCATGGAATAACAGAAACTAGCATGAATCTCTGTGCATGCTAGTCTACTCCATCCATATTCTAAAGGCCACTTACCTGCCTCTTCCCTCTCACTGACTTCAAAACAGGTCCAATAGTCCTTCTCCTTTATCCTCACATTCCTACGATCTAAGATCTCCATGGTGAGCTCCTGGGCTGTCATGGAAGCTGGGATCTGAAGGAAAAGAGGCATAAAGAGACAAGACCCTTCTTTCCTAACCCCAGAAGACTAACCCTAAGAGCCCGAGCCACGAGGGAAAGCCTGCATCCACCAGGACCCCAGACCTTGGTCCAAGTGCCCCCCAGCAAGGTAGAATGGAAAAAAGATTGGTTTTGTAGTCCAAAGTCTCAGATTCAAATTCTGCCTCAGAAATTTACTAGCTGTATGACCTCTGTGGGTCTTAGTTTCTTCATCTGTAAAATGAGGGTGTTGGCCAACTAGATGACCTATAAAGCTCTTTTCCTGCTCTAAATTATAAACCTATCATTGCAGGAGCTCTGGATTTGCTAGGGCCACCTTACTTCATCCTGATAGGGCCAACCTCTCCAACCTCCCTTCAGATATCAATTATGTGTGAGGCCTGGGAGTCAAAAGGCTAGGATTTGAGTTCTCTTTCTCACATCAACTTCCTGCTGATTCTAAATAAGTCATTTTACTTTTCTGAGCCTCAGTTTCCCCATTTCCAAAATGATAATAATATTTTTGCCACCTACTGCATAGGGTGATTGTACATTTTGAACCTTAAAGAACTATAGAAATGAGAGCCATTATTGTTGCTAGCTATGTGCCTCAGTTCCTTGACATCAAAAAAAAAAATGGAAATGCTCAACCTTGCACAATCTACCGCCTCACAGATCTAATCTGAGGAAAACACTTTGTAAACAGAGCTATCATTACTATGATCATCTCTTTAACTCCATCCAGAGCCTGGTTCTATGGATAGCCTGTATTAGCTCTGAACTTCACTCAGATCAGCTCCAGAAAACCTCAGTGCTGGGCTCCCTGGAAGACAGATCTAACAGAGAGGCACAAAGTGTCCTGTCCGATGGGCTTGCCACAGCACCAAGGACAGCTCCCACAAGCAGAAGCCAAGACTGGGCTTGCGGTTTCTGAGTCCCTGAGGCCTCACCTTAACATGCTGCTCCGTCTCCGTTGCCTTCTTTTCCAAGTATACGGTGCAGATGAAATCTCCAGCATGCTGTGGAGGGGAGAAGAGAGGGAATCAGAGACAGTAAAAGGGTGAAAACAGGGACAGAAGCCTCACCTAAAGAACCAATGCACTAGCAGCTTCCTTCTACCCTTTGAAACATTTGGAGCAACAGAAGGCTAAGGACAGTATACCAGATAGGATAGAACACTGGACTTGGATTCAGGAAGACTAGGTTTAAATCCTGCCTAAAAGACTGGGCAAGTCCCTTAATCTATCTGTGCCTCAGTTTCCTCATTTACAGAATAAAGGAGGCTGAACTCAGTGACCTCTAAGGTTCCCCTTGCTCTAAAATCTGTGATCTTACAACCTTTAGGATCTCTCCCATATCTCTCATCCCCTGACTATCCCTCCTAGGTATTGCTCTTTCTAGGGAGAGGTCTGTCTCAGGTTGGGTAGGTTAGGAGTGGGGGTGGTGGGGAGGAAGAGGGAAGAGTTGGAAAAGTTGAGCACAGGGAAGCCAGGCAACATGAGAAGAAACAAAAGACATAGCCAAGAAGGGCACAGGGAAAGTCTAGCTGAGGTGAGATGAGAGAAAATGGTCTGACCAAGGTGAACTTAAGTAGAAGGACTCCAGTGGAGGTGAGCTGGTGGACACTGGGTTGGGAAAAGGACAAAGGAATTAGGGAGAGTGGAATAAATAGGACCCATTTGTTGCCAAGTAGGCAGAATATGAAAATAGACCCTCCATGCTGGTGTGAGTTAGCCAGTGTAAGGTTGGGATCCAATCCCCTCTGAGGGCCCACTCTACCTCTGCTGGGGAGTCTATAACCCCTGGGTCCAGAGAAGAGGAATTAACTTATTTAAGTTCTTAGAATCATTGAATGGGAAGTTGCGTAAATCTGTCATTCCAATTCAGTGGGGGAACAAATAGGGAACCCCAAAGTAGCCTCATGTTGGAGGAAAAGAGCACTAGACATGGAGTCAGGTAGCCTAAATTTGAGTCCACACTCTGCCACTAAATAGCCTTAGGAAGGTCACAAATTCTCTAAGATTCTGTTTCCTCTTCTGTAAAATAGGGATGGTTCTTCTTGTACTAGGGCAATTATGTGGCACAGTAGATAAAGTGCTGAGCCGAGAGTCAGGAAGACTCATCTTCCTGAGTTCAAATGTGGCCTCAGACACTTACTAACTGTGTGATCCTGGGCAAGTCACTTAACCCTGTTTGCCTCAGTTTCCTCATCTGTAAAATGAGCTGGAGAAGGAAATGGCAAACTTCTCTAGTATCTTTGCCAAAAACAAACCAAAACACAAATGGGGTCACAAAGAGTCGGACATGACTGAAAATGACTGAATGACAAAATTCTTGTGCTATCTACCATCCAGGGCTGTTGTTAGCAAAGAACTGGAACCAAAGGAGATGTCCACTGACTAGGGAATGGCTCACCAAATGGAGGAATATTCCTACACCAGAAGAAACAATGTGTACATGAAGAATATAGAGATGCATGAGAAAACTTCTATGAACTGACACAAAGTGAAGTAAGCAAGATTCAGGAAAATAGTATACACTGACAATGTAAATGGGAAGGACAAACAACAGCAATAATAATAACAGACAACATTTCTATACAACTCTATGCTATGTGCCAGGCACTATGCTAAGCATTTTTAGAGGTATTATCTCATTTGATCCTCACAACAACCCAGTGAGGTACTGTAATTATACCCATTTCACAGATGAAGAAACTGAGGCAGACAGCCAGTGGCTAAATGACTTGCCCAGGGTCACACAGCTAGTAAGTGTCCAAGGCTAGATTTGAATTCAGGTATTTCTGACGCACTACACCACATGGCTGCCCCAAACACACCACCAACAACAAACCAACCCTGAATGCCATATAACTGAAGAGATTTTAAAAATGCACTTCCCTTCCTTCTTAGTAGAAGGGTATACACACTATCAGACACGCATGTAGTGCTTCTTACTTTTGCTGAATGACTTGTTTTTTTTCTTCTTTCTCTCTTATTGTTACAGGTGACAGCTTTTGGGATATAAGAGTGGGAATAGACACACACAGAGAGACAGAGAGAAACAGAGGAGAGACCCAGAGAGAAAGAGAGAGAGAGAAAGGTGATACCAATAGCGAAAGTAATCAATAATTTTTAGAAGAAAATGAGCATTTATTAAGTGCTTACTATATGCCTAGTACTTTACAAATATTACCTCATTTGATCTTCATAACCCTGGGAGGTAGGTGCCATTATTATCCCCATTTTATAGTTGAGGAAACTGAGGCAGAGAGAGGTTAAGTGACTTGGCCAGGGTCACACAGTTATTACGCATCTGAGGTCAGATTTAAATTAAGGTCTTCCTGACTCTAGAATCAACACTCTATCTACTGTGCGCCTTAAAGAAGAGGGGTTATTATTATTGTTGTTATTATCACTATCATCATCATCATTGTTCTCATATCCTTCATTCTAGCCAAATTGAATCACTTGCTATTTCCTGGATCAATAGTGCAGGGATTGCAGCCCTGAGCCTAGAGTCAGGAAGACCTGAGTTCAAATCTGACCCCAGACACTTCCCAGCTGTGGGACCCTGGGGCAAGTCAGTTAACCTCTGAATGCCAGTTTTCTCAACTGTAAAATGGGGCTAATAATACCTGCCAGGGTTCTTGTGAGAATCAAATGTTTTTACATTTTCATAGCCCTTAGCACAGTGCCTGGCATATAGTAGTTGCTATAGAAATGCTATCATCATCATCATCATTATTATTATTATTATTTATTCAGGCCTCTTTTATCTTCATGCATTGGTGCCTGAATAGAATCCCTCCCTCATTTCTGCCTGCTGAAATCCTTTCTCTTCACAGTATGGCCCAGGTGCTAGATTCCTCCCAGATGAAAGTCATTTCTCCTGCAGCAAAGCCCTTTCTTTTGGTTTTGCACTGACCTTCCTATGCATCCCCAGCACTTAGCACAGAGCCTCGCATGTAGAAAGTGCTTAACAAATTCCTGCAGACTGATTCACTGACCCTTATTACACTCTTCCATGCGTCACAGCTACATCACAAGTGCACATGTCCTATCTGCTCCTCCCAAGTTCCCTTAGGACAGCACTTGAGTCACTTTTCATCCTTCTAGCTCTAAAATCTATGATCTTCTGACCCCTAGAACCTCTCCTATATCACTCATCCCCTGAACTATCCCTCTTGGGGAGCTGCCTTCTCCTGGAAGAGGTGTGTCTGGAGTTGGGAAGGTTGAGAGGGAGGAATTGGGAAAAGTGGAGCAGAGATATTAGTCAGCATTAGAGGAAACAGGGGCCTGACTGTGGAGAGCAGAGGGAGAGTCTAGCCAAGGTGAGGTGAGAAAAGGGGGGTCTGGCCAAAGTGAACTTAAGTAGGAGGGTCTGGTGGGGGTGAGCTGGGGGGGACACTGGGCTGGCCAAGGGCAAAGGAATTGTGGTATGCATCCCCAGTGCAGAGGGCAGAAGGGCACTTCCCCGGGGCAGGAGCAGGTTGCCTGATGACCTTCCCCTCTCCCATCCCCTAGTAGGCATTCAACTTAGATATGAAGGGCTGCCATGTGGAAGGGCAATCAGACTTGTCCTAGTTGGCTGCAGAAATCACAGCTAAGGAGCAATTAAGGAAAGGTGCAAAGAGGCAAGTGTAAGGCACAGAACATCCAAATCATGAACAGCTTACTAATAGTCAAAGCTGTCCCAAAGTGGAAGGGTCTTGGGGCAGGTAGTAAGCTCCCCATCCCTACAAGTCTTCACGACCACTTGGAGATGGAAAGCACACAGATGGGCTTGAGTTCAAATCCTGTGACAATGACTAGCTGTGTGACCAAGGGTCAGTAACAGCCTCTGCTAAACTCATTTCCTCCTCTGCAAAGGGAGAAAATACCTGCCCTGCCCATCTCACAGTATTGCTGGGAGGAATGGATGATGTCATCCTTAAGGCAACTGTGATGTTGGTGGAGGAGGGGTTCCTCTTCAAGCAGAGAGGCTGGAGTGGATGCCCTCTGGGACTCCTTTGAACTCTGAGATTCTGTGACCCCCTGAGGTTCTATGACATCTGGGTGCCCTTCTTCCACTCCATGTCCCTGTGGCCTCTCTATGGAAAACACAAGACAGATCCCAGGCTCTGCTCTGGCCCCTCAGCATCTCTGCTCCTGAAAATGTGCCCCAACCTGCTCCTAGAAGCAGCATGGGTGCCTGACTCCCAGCCAGGAGACCGGAGAGCATGCTGCCTTCACACTGCCCAATTCCCATTCCACATTCTGCAAAAAGCCTTTCCAGGCTGCCCACGCACACCACACCCCCAGTGCCTTCCCTCTGAGATTACTCCCCATTTACCCTGCTTCTGTTCATCTTGTTCAAAGTCTTGTTAAGTATCTTGTTAAGGTCTTCCTGATAGTTGTTCTGCATGCCGTCTCCCCCCCTTACACAGCGAGTTCCTTAAGAGCAGGGACCCTGTTTTTGCCTTTCTTTGTATCACCAGCTAGGGCAGCTAAGTGGTGCTGGGCCTGAAGTCTAGAACACTCATCTTCATGAATTCAAATCTGGCCTCAGACATTTACACGCTGTGTGACCCTAGGCAAGTCACTCAGCCCTGCTTGCCTCAGTTTCCTCATCTGTAAAATGAGCTGGAGAAAGAAATAGCAAACTACTCCAGTGTCTCTGCCAAGAAACCCCCAAATGGGGTCACAAAGAGTGAGACATGACTGAAGAACTAAACAACACAAAAGTATTCCCCAGCACATAGCCCAGGGCCTGATCCATAGTAAGCATTTAATAAACGCTTGTTAACTATCGATTGACTGGCTGACGTGTGTGTGTGTGTGTGTGTGTGTGTGTGTGTGTGTGTGTGTGTGTGTGTGTGTGTATATATATCCCCTATCCCTAGCAAAGCTATGTATCCCTGTGTGCCTGGCACACAGTAAACACTTAATAAATGCTTGTTAACCAAGTGAAGGAATGAAAGAGGTCGAGGAATTGAAGGGGCAGGGGAAAGGACAGGCAGTGGCAGCTGGCTAGAGACAGGAGGGGCTCTCCTTCCCTCATGGTTTGGAGGGTTAATGAAGAAAGGGCAGGAAAGGGAGAAGGAGAAAGAGGCAAAAGCCAGGGAAGGATGGCGCTTGGTTGGAGCTGCTGGGCAGCCCGGGCTCCGAGGCTGCCTTACCTGTGTTCCACTGGCTGAGCCTGCCACCCTCATCTTGACAATGGCTGTGATCTCCTCTCGCTGCTTCCTTAGCTCCTGCTCATCCACCTGTGGGGAAAGGGGAGGGAACAAACAATTGAAGGTGAAAAGGCGGACATTGCCTGTGATGGGGGTGGGTGGCTGATCTAGCTACCCTCTCCCAAATTCCCCACCAGTCCCATAGGAAGTCCCTGGATGTGAGGGCTCCTCATGTGACCTTGGGAAAATCCCTTCCCTTTGTGGACCTCAATTTCCTCAAATGTAAAATTGGGAGTCTGGACTATATTCTTTTTTTTCAACAGACAAAAAGCCTTTATGTGTGTATAACATAGGTGGAGCTAGTCCTTCATCAAGGAGTTATACAATCTCAGTTAGAAGGCTAGAGTATGCCCAAGGTCCCTGCTACAAATGACATTCTATATCGTGATTTTCTTGTAGATAACAGATTTAGAGGTAAGAGAGACCTCAGAGGCCATCTTGTGCAAGACCCTCATTTGACAGGTGAGAAAACTGATCACAGGGTAGAAAATGCCCAGAACTTGCCCAAAGTCAGAGTTACTAAGAGGCAGAGCCAGGATTAGAACCCAGGATTTCTGACTCCAACACCCTCACTGTCTCAACTGACCCATGAGTGTTGCCTCCTCTTCTGTTCTAAGGTCTCTTCCAGCTCTGACATTTTATGTTCTGTGTTCTAAGAGTCATTGAGACAGCATCTAATCTGATTCCCTCTTTTTATAAAGGGGAATACCAAAGACAAGGGAAGTGACTTAATATTCAAGGTCATGCAGCAAGTTAAAGATAGAACCAGCACTAGAACACTAGGTGTCCTGACTCCCACTCCAGGGCAATCACCATTATACAGGGCTGGTCCCCTCCTACTCCTGCCCTTGGGATATGAGCCCCACGGCTCCCAAGTTTTTCTGTTGTTATCACCACTCCATGACACATACATTGAACACTCGGACATAGTGATCGATGAGGTCCTCCACCACTCGGCCAGCCTTGTAGTCCTGACCATCCGTCTGGAAAAGTGTGGGCCCAAAGACAATTGCCAAGTTGTGGGTATTCATCTGATTGGTCTCTGAGAAGCACTGTACACTATGAAAGGTAAGAAGACCTTAACTCAGGATCCTCCTTCCCCTAAGGTGATAAACCCCTCAAATTCCCTTCCCCCGGAAGGCCCAGGAACCTCAGAAAAAGACCCTGAGACAGAGAAAACACAAAATAACTGTAGTGACAAAGATGGCTCTTGGACCTGGAGTAGAAGAGAGAGGGAAAACTTTTCCCAGGGAGAGGGGGTGGGAACCCAGACCCTCTGCCTTGTGGCTTGAAGTGCCATAGATGGGATGAACCAGCTTGGGGCATCGAGGGGGAAGAGAGGGAGACAAGATATGAAGAAACTCTGTCTTCCCTGGCTCTCACCAGTACAGGTGGCTGATGAGGGCTTTCGCTGTGGCCCGGTTGACAGGGGGCAAGAGCCCCAAGAGTTCCTGGTACCTAGAAATCTTCTCTTCCTCATTCTCGATTGCTGGGGACAGGAGACAGGAAGGTATGAGGTCTGGACCCTCTGGGACCTATGACCCCTCTGGTTTCCTGCCCAGCTCCAGCCAGCTTTTCCCAGGCCAGATTCCCCCAACACCCACCCTGGGCCTTCACACACAACAAACCCCAGAGACTGGTGGGTGGCAAGGACGGGAGTCACTCTGTCCAGTGCCACACAGGACTGGGAGGCGAGGGAAAGGGCTGGAGAATGGGGGGGAAGGAGCAATTGGGGAAGGCGGTCATTTGATCATTCAGTCAATCCGTCTGTCAGGTGGTCTCGTCAGTCAGGCGGTCAGGCGGCTGGCCAATCATTTGATCAGTCCTCTATCAATCAATTCATTTATTAGTTAGCAGATCCATCTGTCCATCCATCAGTCACAAAATCAGAGTGAGAGGGGCTCATGGCAGCTGCCTCATCCAACCTACAGCTGAAAAAGAATCCCGTTCACCACATACCAGAAGTGATCATTCAGCCTTTGTTTGAAGACCTCCAGTTAAGGGGCTGCCACTGCCTCTGGAGGCAGCCCCTTCCATGCTGGAACAGCTTTAATCACTAACAAGTTTTTCTTTACCTCAAGCCTCAGTTTACCATTTTGAGACTCCATCCTACTTGCCCCATATTGTTCTTGGCTCCACCTTTTGGGGCCAAGCAGTACAAGTCTTCCCCAGGATGGGCTTTCTGTATGGGGTGAGAGTTCTCAGGTCACCCCTAAGTCTTCTCTCTCCCAGGCCAAGCATCCAGTCCCTTCAGCATGATACCTCAGGGTTCTTCACCATCCTGGCTTGCCTGCAGGCCCATCTGTCCAATACAGTCAGTCTGTCCATCAATCTGCTGTTGGCTACTGTCAGTCAGTCCATCCATCCGTCCATCAGCCGGTCAGCCCACAGGTCCACTTGGAAGCAGCACCTGCTGTATCGAGCCAAGCACAGCGCTGAGTCCGAGTGAAGAGCCCATCGGGTAGGTCCCGCAGGAAGCGCTTGAGGGCAGAGGAAACATCATCCACGTGCTGCTCCCCCTCCTTGAGACGCACAGAGCGGGCATCCCGACGCAGGTTCTCCAGCACCCGCTGTGTCTTTGACGTCTGCCCACACTTACGGTAGATGCCCTCTGAGGTCAATCCTAGCCAACAAGGGAGGGAAGAAGGGGGTGTCATAGGGGGAATTAATTGGTCCTTAGAGAAGGGGAGGGGTAGCCCACCCATGGCCTTGGCCTCAGACCCTCCACTCACCACACTGCGTGATGTAGTCTATACATCGGTAGACAATGACGGGGATATCAGAGTCCCCCAGTTGCTGCTCGGACAGAGTATCCCCAGAGCTCGCTGCTGCCTTCTGGATGGCCCCCAGCCATCCGGAGAAGTCCAGCTTCCTTTCCCCCTGGATGTACAGGGTCCTGGGCCCAGTGCCCAGTCAATGTCACCACCAGGAAATCCAATGGGATTCACCCTCCCTACCCCATCCACAGGGCTCCCTTAAGAATTATACTGTCATAGACATATTTTTGTGGGTTTATCTTGTATTATGATATCTTTCTGGAGCTATTTGTTATCTCATTTTAAAAAAATGTAGTGGTTGAGTTTTCTATATTTCCCCCAAATAACATTATATATCATGCAAAAAAAAAAAGAATTATATTGTCAGGAAGAAGGCTCCTTGGGAATCACCCAACCCAACTCCATCCTTTTAGAGATATTAAAATGAGGGCCTGGCGAGGAGAAGGGGCTTCTCCAAGGTCACGGGACTTAATGGCAACATCGGGAACAGAACCCTGTGCTCCCAGTTCCAAGCTTAGGGGCCAGAATCACAGGGTGTCAAAGTAAGAAGGAACCTCAGGAAGCATCTAGTCCACCCTGGATCTGAATAGGAAGACAAGTGGTTCATCAGCCTCTGCTTAGGCAGCCTGCTCTGTGACAGGGGGTTTTTCCTGATATCAAAGCCTCCTGTCCCCACCTTTTGCCATCCCCGCATTGCTCCTGATTCTGCCCTCTGTAGCCATGCACAAGGCTACACTCTGCTTTGGGAAATCTTGTAACCCACTTTGTGGATTATCCAGAATGCTACTTCCTCCCCCTCCCCCTACCCCGGCCCCTCCCCAAAGGTCCTAAAGACTCAAGAAATATCCCATGCCAGGGTGCCCCCTTTGGACCAATGGAAGCAGCTGATGCCTTCCCTCTCCCCCAGGGCCCCATTCTCACCTCCCCCTCTCCACCAGTACGAGGACTTCCTTATCCCCTTCAATCGCTGGGGAAGGAGAGGATAGGTTCAAATTAACACACATTGGTGCTCCCTCCCCTCCCCGCTCCTCAGCAGTCAGTCCCTGGTACAGCAGGTGCGGGACACATGCACAGTGGATCCCCCATTTGAGGACTCATATGTGGTCTTTCAGCTATGCATGAGGAAGGGACACAGAAGGGCCTGGGGAGCCATCAATCTGTCCCACCCAGGAACAGAGAAAAGGGGGGTGGAAGGAGGGGGGCAGTGTGCAGATCTGCCTTCCAAGAAGAGGATCTGACGGGATCCAGGCTCAAAGAAGGTCAAAGCTAGAAGAGACCTTAGAGGTCATCCAGACAGTGTCCCTCATTTTAGAAGAGAGCAGACAGAACGCTGAGCAGGGTCACATAGTGAGTTTGTGGGAAAGCTGGGATTAGCACCACAGGCCTTCAAGCAGAACCAGGAAGATCAGAGTCCTTGGGGCAACTCAGAGATCATCTAATCTACCTTCCCCCTTCCCTTACTTTATAAATGGGCCCAGGGAGGGGAAGTGACTTATCTAAAGTCACACAGTTATTAAGCAACCTTCAGGGGAAGGTTGTGAGGGGGGCTGAGTCAGGGAGCAGAAGGGTCCTGCCTACATAGCTCTTGAAGCTTTCGGAGCTGAAGAGCCTCCTCGCTGGGGCTGTCCTCAAACACTGCTCGGAGCTCAGAGCCGGCCAACGCAAACCAACCCTCCTGAGTCCGCTGCAGGCTGAGGCCGGCCTTATATGAGAGGCGGCCCAGACGCTCAAAGTCCCTGCACAGCAGCTCCTCCGCGTGGGGGGGCACGAAGGCCTGTGGGAAAGAAGGGGTGGGGGAATAGAGGGGGTCAGCTCTGGCAGCCTTCTGCCTCCAGACCCCAGAAACCTGACTAATTCTAGGCCTTCCTCCAGCATCCCTCACCAGCTAGAGACCCAATGCATAGTGGCCTCAGTGTTTGGAAAAGTACTTCCAAGAGTCTGATCTCAACCCCCTCCACTGTCAAGTTCCCTGTGCCTCAGTCTCTCCACCCACCTCCCCCTCGGGTTTTCTCCTGGATGCTCAGTCCTAGCTCAGTGTCCCATATTCATAGATGGTATGGAAAAGCAGAGGGGAGAGGAGACAATTAACGAAACAGAGGCTTAACAAAAGTCAAGGCTGTAGGAAGTCTGGAATGAGAATGAAAGCCAGCAGCTGGAGCCTAGCCTTTCTCCCCCTTACCCCCTCAATCCATACAGGGCCAAGTCCTGCCTTCTCCAGGAAGCCCTCCCTCACTGCTTCAGCAGGATGTGGCTTCTCTTTGTGCTTCTCAGGTCATCCCTTAGAGTCTGAAGACTTGTGAATGGACAGATCTAGGAAGGCTCCACCCTGGCCCTGCCACACCTCCCCATATGTAAGCACACCCACCTTAGCAATACACTTGACCCATTCTCGGGCCAGGTCTGGGCTTTCTGATGCAAACAGGTACATCCTCTCAGTTTCTGTGTATACTTCGAAGGTACTGTCAAAGCTGGAGAGAGAAAAGGACAAAGAGACAGGAGGGGAGAAAGAGGCTGATGGTGGGCCCCTTGCCCTCACCCACCTCATAGCTCACTCCCTCTCTGCTCCTCTCTCTATCTCCCATCAACCTCAAGGCCATCTCCTCACCTTCTCTTCTGTCAACCCGTATCACCCCAACCTGTTTTCTCTCCAAATCTGTCTCTCCACTTTTCTTCTTTGGCTCAACCCACCCAGGCTCTCCTCAGCACTGAGGATTCAGTCTGCACACAAGTTCCCTTGTTCTCATGCCTTGGCAAAGAGGGTGGAGCTATGGAGATCTGGGGAAGGGGGGGCAGGACTGGGGGATGAGGAACAACGACGCCTCAAAGAATGTTCGTCAGATCCTAAGGCGGAGTTTCTAGATCACAGAACTCAGATTTTTAGAATCCTAGAAACATAAAATATGGGATTCTAGAATCTTGGAATACAGAAAAACGCGGAATTCTAGAATCTCAAAACAGAGAATTTTAGATAAACAAAACATAGAATCCCAGCTCAGTGAATTTCAGAATCATAGAATTATTGGAGAATAGAATTAAAATGTGGGGAAAATTTGCCCAAGGTCACAAGGAGTTGAGACTAGAACCCAGGGTTTCTAACTGCTCTGCCTAGGGTTCTTTCCAATACACCACACTGCAGAAGAGGAATGGGGAGGGGCCTCAAGATAAAGAGGTGGGGGACTGGTAGAAAGATTTTTCAAGGGAAAGGAGAGAGCACAGCAGAAGCACCATTGAAGAGAGAATGCAGAGGCTGGGCTGGGAGAGGGGTAGAGGGGAGCTCACCCATGGGTGTCAGATGGGGGTATAGCCAGGCACACGATCTCACTGGCTCGGATCTCCCCATTGGGCACGACAGCCCGCTCATTCTCATAGTAACTCAGGACCCCATCACTGAGAACACACCAGCGTCGGCTGAACTCTGCCCAAGGCAAGGCGGAGGAGGGAGAGAGGTTGAGATCCCTTAGGGCCTGCTTCTTCTACACCCTGACCTCATTCTAGGGCTACCACCTCCTTTCCCTCCCCACACCCCACACTGGGGAGGCTCCAGTGCCCCCTACACCTCCTCTCTTGGGAGAATGTGGGGAGAACTGGCTTTTTCCAAGAAATCTTCCATCACTGACCCTCTCTGATTGTATTTGAAGCTCCCTAAGCTTCGCCAGGGTCACAGTACTCTACAAGGGTGGTCATAGTTGGCCTCCCTGGCTAAGACTGTGGAGCCCCCAAGGGTAGGGACCTGGTTCTCTCTTTCCTCTATGTCCACCCCCTCCCAGTGCTCTCAGCAAATGGCAGGGGAGTGTTCTGCATACAGCAGGTATCTGGCAAGGGTTGGTTGTTTCATCCACCACCTAAGGACATGCCTGATCAGTAGGAACAGTTCAGGTTTCCATCTCCAAAGACTCAGGAGGGTTTAATAATGGGGACAGAAGAACAATCCATGAGCCTTTTAATGTGCTGTGTCTTATAGTTAGCCCTGGGCAAAGTCCATGCTGAGTTGAGTTCAGAATGATCTGGTTAGAATTCAGAGCCCTCCACTAACTGATGCCCCCTGCCTTCCCAGCTGCACCACCTACCACGTCCCTTCCCAAATCCTCCACTTGGCATTCTAATTAAAATGGATGACCCTGCCCCCAAACATTGATTCATTCACTAAAGAAACATTTATTAAACATCTGCTACATGCCAGGCACTGAAGATGCAAAGACAAATAATAAAACAGTCTCAGCCTGCAGGGACCTCATAATTCTCTTGGGTGAACAACCTATACATAATTCCGTGGATACAGAACAGTCAGTCCAAGGTAAGTTTTATGTTTGTTTGTTTGTTTGGTGGAGGGGGGACAGAACTTACAACCAAGAGACCAGTAACCAAGAGAACCAGGTCTTATTTAGGGGCTGGAACTTCAGCTTAGCTCTCCCACCCCCATGCCTTTGCCCAGGACATCTCCTATGCCTGGAATGCCTCCCTCCTTCTCTTCACTGACCAAATTCCTACCTCTCCTTCAAAACTCAACTCAAACTTCTCCTCCAAAAAGCCCCTCTGATCTCTCCTGCCCACAACACTGTGCCCTTTCAGGCTTCAGCCAGCCCTTTCCGTGCCCCTCTCAATGACCCTTCTCATGTCTTACTGTGTACGTGGTCCTCATCTCTCTGTCAGACTGTAAGCTTTGCAAGGGCAGGAGCCATGTTTTATCTCCTTTCCTCCCCAGTGCCCACCATTCAGGGAATGAATTGTGATACATAAACTAGGGCAAAGAGGCAGATGGCTGGGATGAGGGAGGGGAAGCACCCACCTTCTCGCGCACGGCGCTCCTGCAGGGGCTTGGCCACAGAGGCCGTCTTGAAGAGGAAGCCACTGTGGCTCACGGTGGGCTGAATGACAGAGTAATGCTTCTCCACAATGCTGACTGGGTCCAGCCGGGGCATCTCTGGGGAAAGTCAAGGAAGGAGGCAAAGGGGTCCATGGTCAAGGACAGACTTCTGCAAGGAGGGGCTGGGTCTCCTCAACTCCCCACCCACCCACCTACCCCAAACACTAGCAAAGCAACCATTCAGTCCCAACCCCTCAAATATCAAGAACAAAGACACTGCAGTCAGAGAACTGGGTTAGAATCTGGGCTCTGCTGCTCATAAGCCTATGAGACTTTGGGCATATTTCTCTGGACCTCCCTTTCCTCTTACACTTACATGAGGAGTGTTGGGTGAGATGACTCACAAAAGTCCTTAGAGCTCTGATGTTCCAAGTCTGTGAGTCTAAGGAAGGGCTCAGAGCTGGCAAACTGAGTCCCCCTAGAAGCTCCCCCCACATCCTCCATGCCCTGGGGAGGTCAGGACCCTCCCCTTTGGACCTCACACAGCACCTCTTGATGCACTAAATATGTAACATGTGTATGTACATATGGAGAGATGTGCACATATGTGTGCCTGTGTTGTGTGTGTGTGTGTGTATTATGTACAGTGTACATGTGCATTGTGTAGTTGGTTGTATGTGTGTATTGTGAATGTTTTTGCGGTACATGTATGTGTGTATATGTACATATGTGGATATATCTCTCTGTGTGTGTGTGTGTGTGTCTGGGGCAGGGCAGTGAGGAGGGGGAGGAGGAAGGGTCTTCTCCTTCACCCAGAATGCACACTCTGTAAAGCTAGGAACTACATCTGAGCCAAATAGTTCATCTCCTCTCATGCCAAGTGCAGTGTGCAGCCTCAGCAGACACTTCATCAGCTGTGACTGACTGACTAAAGCTCCCTGGCCCTGAGAGACCCCGGAACTCAGCCCGGGTGGGCCAATCAGTCTCTAGGCTGGCCGAGCCCAACCCCCTCTGTGGTCCCACCAGCCGGTGGTGCTCCGAGCCTCCCAGGGGAAGGCACATGTGATCGAGGCTGTGCCTGCCATGGCTCCTGGGTGGGTGGTGGCTGCCTGTGGCTCCTGGGTGGGTGGTCTTTCCCCTGCCCTAGACCAAGGTTCCAGGAAGTCACTAGTCCAGACACCTACTGACCAAGGGCAGAAAAGGAGCCAAGGCCCCCAACCCTGATGGCCTCACAGTCCTCAATCCCCTTTCTGATGATCTTGTCAATCCAAGCTTGGAAAGCCCTGCCCCCAAACTGTAGCCTAGGTATAATATGCTGGGTGACACAGTAGATAGTGCACTAGACCTTGAGATCCAGCCTCAGACACTTACTAGCTGTGTGACTCTGGGTAAGTCACTTTAACTTCTGTTTGCCTCAATTTCCTCAATTGTAAAATGGAGATACTAATAGCACCTACCTTACAGAGTTGTTGTGAGGATCGAATGAGATAGTATCTGTAAAGTGCTTAGCACAGTGCCTGGCACATAGTAGGTGTTTAATAAACACTTATTCCCTCCTTCTAAGTAGATGGCTTCCCTGAGGGCAGGGGTTATACATCCCCTCTCAGACTCAGAACTCCCTGAGGCCCCAGAAAGTTATGCCTCACTCCACTCCTGGGGTCCCTGAGCTTGGGATATGGCCAGGACCCAAACTCTCAAGTTCCCCCAACCCCCAAAGGATGGGTTGGGGGAGGCCAGGACTGTCACTGGAATAAAATCGATGCCTTCGCTCCTCTTGCCCAAGGCTCACGCTGGGTGGGCCAGCTCATATTTACAAGGGTACTCTAGCTTTTCTGTTTCTGACTCTCTGTCTCTATCTCCGTATCTCACTCTCACACACACATAACAACACACAGATACAATCATTCACAAACACACCCAGAACAAGAGACACACAAATGCTGACACAGAGGCAGACAGGCTGGCATGTATACACATACCACCCCCAACACATACACACGGACACGTGTGGCCAGTTCCTCCTCCCTTACCAGAGGTCTGGTTGTTCCTGAGAAACTCCATCTGCAGCCTCTGGCCAGCCTGCCTGGCCACGGCCAAGGGCGTGGGGGCTGCAGGGTCCCCTGAGAAGCAGTTGATGGCCGCCCCACAGCCCAGCAGGGCCTGTGTCTCTTCGAGGTCAGTAGTGGTGACAGCCACACAAAGGGCCTGGGGGTGAGATTGAGCTGCCTCAGGCCCTGGAGAGAGGAGAGAGGATGCTCCCCTGTTCCTCCTCAAACCTCCCCCCTCCCATAGCAATGGTAGCCAGTCTCAGCAAAGAGATAGGGAGAGGTGGGAAGGGGGTCGGGGTGGGGTGGGGGAACAAGAGAAGAGAGAGAAAGAAAAAGAGAGAAGGGAAAGAAACAGGAGGAGGGAGAGATGCAGGGACAGACAGAAACAGGGAGCAATCAGTTAGGCAACAAGTATTTGTTAAGAGCTGAGCCAGGCACTGTGCTAAGTGCTAGAGGTACAAAAAATGACAAAAACGGGGAAAACAGGACGACAGGGAAAGAAGGGGAGAAAGAGAAAGCTTGAGGTGGGGAAGAGACAGAAGAAGAGAGTACCCAGGGAACGGGGAGAGGGACTCAGGGGGAAACGGAGGGCAAGGAAGGAGAGAGGGACAGAGCAGGAGACACAAAGGGAGAGTCCTGGAGATGGTGGGAGGTGGAAGGGGTAAAGGGAGAAAAAGAAAAGGGGAAAAAGAGAGAGAAGCAGAGGGAAGCAGACAGAGATTGGGGAGGAGACTGAGGAAAAGAGAAGACCAGGAAGAGAGAAGAAGAACTGGAGAGGGAGAGAGAGTAGAAGGAGACAGTGGTCTGAAAGGAGAGACGGACAAGTCAGGAGACCAGGGTGAGGGGAAGGGGAGAGAGACAGACTCATGGAGTGGGGGAGAAGGGAAGTCCCGTAGAAGTAGAAGAGGGGATAAGACAGAAAGGAAGGCAGGCAGAGGGAGAAAGAGAGGGAAGGAAAGAAAGAGAGTGGCCAGAGAAGGAGGGAAGGAAAGAGAGGAGACAAGAATAGGGGGAGAAGTGGAGGGGGCCAGGTCAGGGTCACAGGTCAGATCCTGGCTTCACCCTGAGGCTGAGCACCCCCCAGGGCAGCTGTTTCCTGGGTCTGGGTCCCCGTCTGTGGCCGAATCCAGTTTTAGCTCTCTCAAGTCTCTCCGAGCCTTGGGGAGGGGAGGGAAGGACAGAACTGAAGAAGGCGGGATGATTGTACAGTAAAGTCCTCCCACATGTGAATTCCTCACCGCCTGCCTGCTGGGCCCTCCAATGGAAGCTGCCTGGCCCCGCCCAGACAGCCTGAACCCAGCCAATTCCTTCACCCTGAGCAGGCCTGGCTAGGGAGTCAGACTCTTGGGTCCCAGCAGCTCAGAGGTGGCTCAACTTTGCTTTAGGAATGGTCTGGGGTGGGGCTGCTCAGGAGGCTGGGAGGGATGTTTCACCAGAGCTCGTCTTGTCCACAACCCCTGCCTCAGGACATGAGTACACACACACACACACACACACACACACACACACACACACACACACACAGAGCACAGCCAAGGAAGTAAGCATTAGAACCCAGGTGTCCAGACTCCCATTCTGTGGCAGAGACTACAATATAATGGAGAGTTCATCCATGGTTTTGAAGAAGTCTCCAAAACCATGCATACCTTGGACTTATCATTCTGTGGGGCTGAAGCCTCTGAGGCCTCCATGGAGCCTCTCTACACCTCAGAGGGGACAGGGGTATGGGGCCAAGGGGAGCTGGTTCGGAGCAGCCCAGCTGGTTTCCATGAGCCCAGCAGGAAATAGCACTGGGCGTCAGGCCTGCTCCCTTTGGCAGGACATAGCAGCAAGAAGGGAGGATGCACAACAGAGGAGGGAAGGGAGGGGAGCAGCTGGTGGAGTGGAGTAGAGGACAGGAGACTTGGGTTAAAACAGAATCATCAGCTCAGAAAACACAAATCACAAAACATCAGAGCTGGGAGGGCCCTTAGAACACAGAAAGTTACAGCTTGGGAGGGCCCTTAGAACACAGAAAGTCGCAGCTGGGAGGGCCCTTAGAACACAGAATGTCAGAGATGGGAGGGCCCTTAGAACACAATGTCAGAGCTGGGAGGGCCCTTAGAGCACAGAATGTCACAGCTGGGAGGGGTCACTTGTAAAGGAAAGGGAATAGATTAAACTGGCCTACGAGAGCCCCTTAGATTCATACATTTAACATTCTATGTTCTAAGGACCCTGTTATAATCCTGGCTCTGCTACTGGCTGAACTGTGACTTTGGGCCACTGACTCCTCCTCTCTGTTCTTATTTCTTCCTCTGTAACTAATTCTCACTGATTCAAAGTTCTAGGATGTCCTCAGATACCTTGGGATAATTCAGAAAGCACTAGCCTTGAAGAAATCAGGACACCTGGGTTCGAATCCCACCTCTGTGTTTCAATAGGAACTGTGTGACCTTCATCTCTTGGGGCCTCACTTTCCACATCGTCAGCAGAATAAGGGAGGGCATTGGATGAGGGAGGCCACCCGAGGTTCCTTCTAGCTCTACGCCTAGCATGCAAAAATGGAGTGAATGGTGGCTCTACTGATCCTGACCTCCCAGGCTCGTTAAGAAGCACCAAACAAGGGGGCAGCTAGGTGGCGCAGTGGATAGAGTATCAGCCCTGGATTCAGGAGGACCTGAGTTCAAATCCAGTCTCAGACACTTGACACTTATTAGCTGTGTGACCCTGGGCAAGTCACGTAATCCCAATGCCTAGCAAATTTTTTTTTAAATTAAAAAAAGAAAAAGGAGCACAAACAAGATTAACACGTGCAAAGCACTCTTTAGACCTTAAACTGCAACAGGGTGTCCCAAAAGTCTTAGGTTATTAAAGCTTAAAACCACATGAAGACTTTTGGGACACCCCACGTCAGTGTCTTTCACCATCATCATCATCATCACCATCGTCATCATCATCACTGGTATATATTATGTTGCAGGAGAAAGAGAAAGGATGAGAATAGAGAGAAGCGTGTCAGAGTGGCCAGGGTGAGAGAGAAGGGTGGTTAGGGGTGGGGAACGGGGTACCCCATCCAGACAGACAAAAGCATTCAAGGAAAGTTCAGTGAGGAGGGAGGGGGCACTATGATCACAAGGACATCAGCACTAATGACCACAGGCATGGCCACCTTCTGGGGGTCCTTTGCCCTCTGGGACCCCAGGGCACAAGTGGGGTACCCAGCAGTCTCTGGCTGCCAACAGCCCAGGGGTGGCACAGCTGGTGGTCGCAGGGATAGCTCAAAGGTACAAGGCAACCGGCTCTGCTGTCTGAGGATGCCGCCCCCCAGAGCACACAGTCAGGCTGACCTTATCAAGCTCTTCTTGCTTGCCGAAGAAGCGATGATAACGGCGGTACTTGCCCTCGCGGTACTTGGCCTCCAGGTGGTGCCGCCGGTCCTCAGGGCTGCTGCTGGGGTGCAATGCTTCACTGGGGGGCACATTGGCTGCCCAGAACCGCTTCCCGGACTCATTCCCCAGATGATGGAAGAGCTGAGAAAACAGAGTTTGGGGTAGGGGAGGTCAAGAGCTAGCACTGACAGCATCAGTGCCCCTCTCTCCAAAAAGGGAAACTGAAGCCAAAAGCCTGGCGAGGGTCTGGCTTAAGTCAGTGCCTAAACTTCCTCCTGTCCTAGCCTGGGCCCTGGGCTCAGCTCTTTGGGCAAAGACAGATCAATATTCAAGAACTGGACAGATGGACAGACATTTAAAAAGCAAATAACCAGATAGACAGGTGTTTAAAGAAAAGACAGATAGATATTTAGATAGATAGATAACCTATTTAGGAAACAGATATTTAGGAAGGGAACAGAGAGATAAATGCACAAACATTTAGGGAGTAAATAACATGGAGAAATGAGTATTTAGGGACTGGATAGACATCAAGGGAACAGAAAGACAGCCATTTATCAGGGAAGGATAGGGGAGCCTCCAGCTGCCAGCTCTGCTCCACCCCACCCAGCATCTGGAACATTACATTCCTGAGGTTCTCAAAGCTTGGGGTGGGGGTGGGGAGCATCTGTCTGTCTCCTGATGGGGAGGGCGGGATTTTGGAAACAAGCCCTCTACCCCAGCTCCCCAACCCAAGATACACACACCCCAGTGATTTCCGGCCAAATATTCCTGTCCAGGCCCAGGAGGGTCACTCTCGGGGGCTGGGTCAGGAAAGGGGCTTCCTCTGTTGTTGAAGTCTCCAGGCTCAGCTGCCTCTTGGGTTGGACTTTCTTTGATCTTGGGGCGAGGGGAGGGGGTTGGGGGAGGTGTAGAATTGAGGGTAGTCAAGAGTCCATCCTCCCGCTGCAAAACAGAAAGTTCTGGGAAAAGGAAAGGGAGAGAATGACGTCCTCACCTCAATCAGATCCTCTGTCCACACTTTCCGGTCCATCTTCAAGCTCCGAACCTTGGAGACAGAAGGCCCCAGCCATCGATGCTCCCCTGGGCACAGAGGGATTCAGGAGTGCCACGTGACACGGCTGACCAGGTATGGAGCCCTCCCCTCCTCATGCTTCCCTCCCCACAAGCGGCCACCTTTCTCATATACTGCCCTGGTCCCGGGGGAGACACATACACGGGCAAGGGGCAGATTGGAAGGGATGGAGGGAACTGGGGCAGAGAAATAGGGGAAGGAAGAAGATGAGCAAGAGAGATAAGCAGTGTGCTCCAAGGGAGTGAGCTCTGAACTGGGAGTCCAGACACCTGAGTTCTAGACAAGAAGGGCCATTCTCAACTGGACAGAAGGAAAAACTTCCCAAGGATAGGACTTAACTGTTTTCCCCCCTGCAGCATTCTCTTCTTTCCTAACCTCCCTATTTCTATGGAGGGCACCACCATCATTCTTCTGGTCACAACTATGTCCACAAATATGAATTTCCACTCTTTGCCAAATCTTGTAGATTCCAAATCAACCCGTCTCACATCCATCCTCTTCTCTCCCTTTACGAGGACATTACCCCAGCTAGGTCAGGGCCTCATCACCTGTCACCCACACTACTACAAAACCTCCTAGCTGGCCTCCCTGCCTCAAATCTCTCCCCACACTCCAAGCTATCCTCCACACAGCTGCCAAAAGGATCTTCTCTAAACATACATCTGACTGTGTCACTCCCCAGCTCAAAAAGCTGCAGTGGCTCCCTGTGACCTTTCAGATCGAATACAACCCTCTGTTTAGCATTTAAATCTCTGTGTCTGATTCTAAACTATCTCTCCGGGCTAAATGCACATTACTCCCCACCAATCTCCCCATGCACTCTCCATACAAACTGACTCTTTACTGTACAGGACATTATTTCCCCCATGTTCATGCTTTTGCATAGGATGCTTCAAGCCTGATATGCTTCCCCCTATCATCTCCAACTTTTGGAATTCCTGACTCCCCTCAAGGCCCAACCCAAGTGCGGATGCCTGCGAGATTTCCTGACTGCCCCTGCTGTTAGTGCCCTGCCCTCCCAAGATGATGATTTTGTCTTGTATCTATTTTTCATTTACTTAGTTGGGAACATGTTGCACCCCCCCACATACAGTCAGTGAGGTCCCCAGTGCCTGGGTGCTAGCACAGTGGCTGCCACATAGATCATAGTTTCCAAGGCAGAAGGGGCCTTAGAGTAATGAGTCCAACCCCCTCATTTTACATATGAAGAAACTGAGGCACAGAGTTAAGTGATTTGTCCAGAGCCACATATCTAATAAGTGTCCAAGGTGGGATCTGAACCCAGGTCTTCCTTACTTTAACTTCAGTGCCCCATTCTCTAAACCAGGTTTCCTCTCTTAGCATCCCTAGATCCATCAGGGCTCTCTGCTCAAAGGCACCTCCAACAAGAGGATGGCCATTTGGGGCTCTTCCAGTTAGAAGCAGCTGGTCACCAATAGCCTCACCTCGGCCCCTGCACTGAAAGTACTTTGTACTCAATTGGCACATATAATCTCTAGGAGATTGCAAGCACATCATGGGCAGCGACATACTCGACTTTGTATCCCCAATGCCCAGCACAGCACCTGGCACAGAAGTAACACTTAAGAAATGCTTGATAAATTGGATTGAATCAAATGTTGTAGAGGGAAAGTACTGCTCAAGTAGGGACTGGACCAAGCAATCACTGAGCTAGGCAGTGGGAATGCAAAGACAAAAATTAGACTCGCTGGCCTCTGAGCTTCCTTCCAGCTCTAAGACTAGGAATCTGGGGGCTTGTGGTCCATTAAGACCTCCTGGTCTTTTCTACAAGCACTGCCATCTAGCCACGTTGCCCAAATTCAGCCTAGCATTTGAGGCTCTATTATATTTGGCACTTTCATTTCACTGAATTCTCCTTCATAAAGTCTATATTCCAACCAAACTGAAAGGTACATCCTCTCCCATACTCAGTTTCATGCTTACTCTTGGCATTTCTCTCTTTCTTATGATTCTCTGAATCATACAAGAAGAATCCCTGCTGTCATTCCCAGAATGATTAGCATTTACAAAACTCTTGCCTCACAACACCCTTCAGTGATAGATATTGTGATATCATTATTCCCATTTAAAGATAAAGAAACTGAGGCCCAGAGCAGGGTAGCGACTTGCCCAAAGTCACACTGCAGGTAACCGTCAGACTCCCAGGTAGGTCTCTTGACTCCAAAGTGCAGAGCTCTTCACCATGTATTCTGCCATCTTTTCAAGGCTGCCCTTCTCCAGGAAGCTGTCCCAAGAGCACACCAGCCTCCCACGTTTGAGGCGGGATGGCTAAGTGTCACATACCTGCACATCTCTTGCAAATCACAAGGCAGAGGTTGATGGAGGCCCAATCTGGATGTGGGGCCCCACAGTCGGCACAGAGTCGGTTAGAGGCGTCAACCCAGATCTGCTCAGCCACATCCATGGTGGACAGGGCCTCCGCAATGGCGCCCTGCATGGCCTCCAGCCACTCCGCCTTCTCCAACTCTGACTCGGCCGAGAAACTAAGGGGATATGGGTGATAAGCAAGGCTCAAGGGAGATAATGGGGGACACAGACTGGACGAAGGGGGACTGTGCCGATAGGGTGGCCCATGGTGAAGAAAGGTAAGTAACCCAAGGACAGAGGCAAAAGGGAGGAGGTTATCTGGTATGAGAAAAGCTTAGGGCTGGAAGAAGTGACAAGAAAAGGACGGAGAAAGTAAGACACATGGGCTGTTCAACATCAGAATGGACAGGGGTGGGAAAACTGCATGGCCTGATGATGACAGCACTGGAAAAGTTGGTTGTTCAAGGTGGGGGAGGTTGTTCAAGATAAGCAGCCACGGATGGAGGAGGTGAGACTGTTGGGTTGTCCAAGACGATGGGATAAAATTGAAGGAGACAAATGGCTTGAGAAAGGAGGATTTGGAGGGAGGGTAGGGTTGTCTAAAGTATAAGGGACTGGATTGGGGGAAAGGAGTCATCTGAGGATTGAGGTGATGAGAGGGACTGGAATGGAGGTGGGAGGAACCCAAGACTGGGTGAGAAGAGCAGCCTAAAAATTGGGAGGGGGGATAAGGGGAGGTTAATTATCTGAAGAGGGTGAGGTAGCTAAAATATGGGGGACAAGGATGAGAAAAGCAAGTGTCTTGGGGATAGTAGAGCTGGGAGTCAGGGGAGCTCACCTGAAGATCCGATAAGGAGTGGTGAGATCAAAGCTTCTCCGATCTGAGTCTTTCACATTGCCCACACTCATATCAATGAAAGTGATGCCTATACCCATCTGGTATTCCTGGGAAGAAGATGAGGCTAGAGATACAGTTCCAAGATAGCATCCGGGGGTTGTAGGGTTGGGCGGGGGGGGGGATAGGAGAAGGAGGAGATGAGGTTGCAGCGGGGCTGAGGGTATTGGAGGGGATGAGGGTATGGGGGAAAAGGGTACAGGGGGATGAGGATGCTGCGGGGATAGGAGGACAGGATGAGGCTGAAGGGGGAGATTCTGGCTCCCATCCCCCACTCCACTGGGCTCCTCCTCAGAACTCATACCCACCTCCAAGTTCTTATACAGTAGCACCTTGTCCCCAGCTACCACCACATACAGCTTGCTCTTCACCCCTCGAAGCTCCAGGCTGCCAGTGTGGTCTGGGATCCCAGGACAGTGAGGCTCCAAGGGGCTGGCCTTTGAAAGCCGGGCCCGACCCTGCTGCTCCTCTACCGCCTGCTGAAGTGCCTGCATCCAGTCCTTCCGCTCGGCTACATGGAGCAAGAGGAGGGGAAGCTTCAGTTCTGAGACCCCAGGCTCACCTCCTCTCCCTTTCCCTCAGCTCTTTCCTTGCCTGCTCAACAATCAGTTTTTGCCAGGAACCCCTACTGGGTTAACCCCCAGCTCTGATCAGGTCTTCATTCTCCATCACTTAAATTTCCCATGCTCCTTCAGCTCAGCTTTGATGCCCATGTTGTGGATGTGGGGTCTGTGGCCCCTTCAGCCTGGGGTAGGACGGCAGGGAGGCCGTGCTAGGAGCAGGGCTGTGCCTCCTTTTTAGATTGGGGGGAGCACTTTTCCTGACTTTCAATGCCCCTTCCCACACCCTCCTTTATCCCCCCTCACCATCACTCTCAGCCCGGAAGACAAAGGTCCGATTGTGTGTGATGACTTCAAACTTCTGGTCGCTGACGCCAGAAACTCGAGAGATGGAGGAGACGGGGATGAAACGCTTGGAATAAGCATCCTAGAGTATCAGAGGGGAGAGAGGTGGAAGAGGAAGAGAGCCACCCAAGGGGCGAGTCACTCAGAGATCCAGCTCCCCAAGGCCCAACCCTCCAGAGCTCCCCAAAGATGGCTTCTCTTTCTTTATCCTTTCCTTCTCTTTAGGACTAATGAAGGAACTGGGCTCTGGTATGGGCACAGGCTCAATCTGGAGGTAAGGCTGGCCTTATTCCAGGGTCAAGATCAGTTTTCAGTGAGTGACCAGAATAGGACACGACAGGGTTGAGAACAAGCATTTATATAGTGCCTGCCATGCGCCGGGCACTGGGCTAAGTGCTTTTTACAACTATTATCTCATTTGATCCTTACAACAGACTTGGGAGGTAGTGAAGGGTTGGGTAGCATTATCCCCATTTTATAGTTAAGGAAACTAAGGCAGACAGAAGTAAAATGACTTTGCCCAGGGTCACACAGCTAGGAAATGTTTGAATCTGGATTTGGACTCAGACCATCCAGTCCCAGCACGCTATCCACTAAGCCTCGTTAGGATCAATGTTCTACTAGGGGCCAGGATAGAATTGGATCTCAGCCCAGTGCTTGGTTCAAGACAGTGTGGGTTGTCAGGGGCCAGGGTCAGGGCTCAGTCAGGAATGTCCTGGAGTCTCACCTTGTCACTGTCAAAGTACCGTAGGTAATCAGAGTCCAGCCTGACCCATCGCTTCTGATAGATGTAGGATCTGGCAGTGTAAGATATGTGGGGCCTTAGGAGAAGATAGTCATAGGCAGTCAGGCTTCCAGGCTCCACCATTCCATGGTCAGGGACACACAGATAGGTTTCATGGGATGGAGACCTGGACTGGGACAACCTAGGAGGCCTGCTTTGCCATCCACCTGCAGAGGCGGGTGGCCTTCAACCGAAAAAGAGATCCCAAGGTTGAGGGTGGGGGGTGCGGGGGGAGAATGACAAGTGGCAGGATAAGACAGCGCAGCCCATGGAAGGCTGGGATAGCGGAGACAGCAGGTGATGGGGGGATCTTCCTGGAGGAAGGGGACTAGGCCAGATGACCTCAAAGTCCTTCCCTGCTATATGCCCCAAAGCCCATGAAAGAGAGATCTCTAAGCACCACCCACAGGAAATTTCTAAGCTCTATTGATGGGAGATCTTGAAGCCAGAATTCATTGACAGAGCACATTCTCCAAACACTATGAACAAGGGGGTCATGGGTGGGGCATGAGGGAGCAGGAGGGACTATAGGGTCATCACTCACCCCTGAGGTGGGTTCTTGTCCAGCCAGCCGACCTTGATGACAGGTGTGGAGGGAGTTGAGGTCCAAGGCGGCCCCTCCATAGGATTCAGGGGGACCTCTGGGGCTGGGATGCTGCTGAGGCTTGGGGATCTCAGACCAACATCATCCCATATGCCACTGGGGAAAGCATAGGGACAGGGTAGGTAAGGGGCAAGAAGAGCCTCCTCCATTGAAGGAGGGGACCCCAGGGAAGTGGGGGAGGGGAGGTGGGCATTTGGAGGAGTCCCTGATAGACACTGGAGAAGGCACCCAGGAGGATGCCACTCCCCTAGGGGAACAGGAAGAACCCAGTGAAGGAGAATCTTGGCTCCTACTTGGGGATGTCCTCATAGTAGTGGAGGTCCTCCTCAAGCTCGTCACCTTCACTCAGCAGACTGGCCACGCTCACAGTCCTTGGGACATCTTGCAGGGATGGCTCCTCCTACCCCACACCAGGGACCCCTGATCAGGTTCTTCCCTTCTCAGGCTTCCCCTACCCCTCTACCTGGCCCCCTGGCTCCTCCCTTCCTGGCCCCCCCCCAATCCCCAAAAGAACCAAGGCCAGTTTCATACTTTCTCTACATTACCTTACCTGTCATCCCCTCACCCACGCACACAGACACAGACACAAAGTGGCACATGTATACCCACAGAGTCCAGTCTCACTGGTATTCCTCCCCACTCCCACTGGCAGTTCAGCTTAGGTAGAAATTAGGAAGGCCTGTTTAATCCTCCCTGCTGATCAACAGTGTCCCCTGCCCTTCACCATCCACCCCCAAGGGATCCAAGAAGAAGAAGGCCCTGTCCTGCTCAGACTGCCAAGCGGGCTTGGGCTAATCAAGACAGGCTCCTTCAGGCTTCCCAGCCTTTCTCCTGAATGCTGACAAGGCACAAGGCATAGTCGAACTTAGTTTTTGATCGGTACCCTCCAACTTCCACATCTCCCACATTTACTGTGCTCTACCTTCCCTTTCCCCCAATCACACTAGGAGCTCCGAGATAGCAGGGATTGTGTCTTACATCTACATTCCGGATCTTCCCCAGATCCTGGCAGAAGGCCCTACATACAGCAAGTGAGTCTCAGATGTTTGCTGTGTACAGTCCTGTGGTTACCCTGCATGTGGACCAGTGGCCCCTCTTCTTTGCCACTCCCCATCCTCTGCCACCTAACTTCATGCTGAGGGCTGGAGACACTCGACCCTCCCACCTTTCTCCCAGGGTTCCTGCCCTATGGACTGGACAAATAGATGAGAGAAACAGCTTTCTCTGTGGAGATGGACAGATAGGCAAATACGTGGCCCCACGCAGACAAAAAAGACAGCTTCGTGAGAACACATTCAGCCTTCTTGGTGACAGATGCCTGTTGCCCACCCAAGCCCACCCCACAGTCCCCACCTTGTTGACCATCACTGGGCTGGGGCTTGGGGCTGGTGGCCCTTCTTCAGGAAGCTCATCATAGTCCGAATCGTCTGTGGGAGAGGCATGAGAGTTAAGTCTGGAGGGCAGGGGGACCCAGCAGACAGCAAGAGGCTCCCACCTTCCAGGTCTGGCTGCATTAGCCCCCTCACCCAGGGAACAAACCCCCACAGCAACAGTTCAAGGAACTTCAAAATCGCCTAGGAAACTCAGGGCTGATCTAAGCACTGTCTCGGGGAGTAACAGGGGAGTGGGAAGAATTACTGATACCAGAAATAACAGCTACACACCAGTTAAAAGAGCACTAAGTGAGGGGCAAAGGACCTGGGTTCGAATTCAGACTCTGCTACTTCCTAGCTCTGACTTTAAGGACAGTCACTTCTCTTTGGGCCTAAGTCACCTCCTCTATAAAATGAGGGGGCTGGACGAGGTGCTATCTAAAGTCCCCTCCCTACTCCAAATCCTATGATACTAGGAAATGTCTCCATTGCCCTAAGCTGTCCTCATCCTGCCCTTTTAGCATGAAGGTGGAGTGGGGCAGGAAATGCTATTTATAACAGGCAGTGTGAGAGAGAAAGAGGGTGTTTAGCCCACTCCTGGCGTCATCACAGCAAGCAATATCCTGTTGGGAGCGAGAGAGGGAAGGAGGGAGGAGGCTGTGGGCTCAAGGAAAGAAGGACACCCTATCACAGTAGACTAGTCAGGGCAACTGGGATGGGGACACCATGGGTGGGGCCAGGAGCATGTGGCCACAGGGGCTAATGGTCATCTAGTGACCACTGGTGGAAGAACTGATGAGAACATTTACAAGGACAAGAGCTTGTCCAGACACGAACCAAGATAGAGAGGGAGCTAGACCTCAGGCCAAGTGAGGTTTGGGTAAAAGAAATCAAGGGGTTTCCAGTCTGGAGAAGAGAAGACTTGAGATGGAACATGACAGCCATCTGAAGGACTGTTATATAGAAAGAGGCACAGGCAAGTTCTATTTTTCCCTAGAGGACACTCTAAACAATGTGGGGAAGTCACAGGGAGGGAAATTTGGCTAAACAGAAGGGAAAACTCCTTAATATCAATTTGTCCTACAACGGAATGGGCCGCCCTAGGAGGGTATACAATCCCTGTCATTGCAAAGGCTTGGAGGGTGGGTGTGGGGTAGGGGAGCTTCCAGGGGGATGGGTTTATGCTCCCAGGACTAACAGGTGGCCCAAGACAGGGGAACACCTTTTAACTGGACAGCCAAAGAAGACACAAAGGAAGAAAACATCCTTCAGCTAGAACTCAGGGAATAATAGTCCAAACCTCCTAGCCAGGCCATGACAGAAGGCAGGCTGTGGGCCCAATGGAAACCAGGTAGGGCGACTAATGGAAAATAAGCTTCTGGCTAATGGAATCAAACCAGGCAGTGAGCCAAAAAGAAATCTGACTGCAGGTCTAGAGTTGTAACTTTCGTGCAAATTTCGAAGCTACGAGAGAAGCAGCATTGAGCTCGGTGCCAACTTCCTATCATTAGTGTTTTCTCTGACAAAGTTCAAGAAGAAATATCAGCCCCAGGCTAAGTTTGCCCCCCACAAACTTTTGGGTGTGTGCAGAGATGGAAAGACAACAAGAGACACCTGCAAGAAAACTTCAAAGAAGCTATTTGGGGAGAATTCTTCAAGGCTAAGGAATACCCCAAATACCACATTTCCCTAAAGCTCATCTAGTTCGTTCCTAGGGCTCCACACAGTGCCAATGGAAAGCAGTCAAGGACAAACACATTACCCTAAGAAACAATGATTATTAGAAATTCAGAGAAAAAGAAGACTCACCAAGCTCGGGCAGCAGGTGGGAGGGCTTCGGGGGGATTTCTGGGGCACTGAGGGTGAGTGGAGGGGGCTGGGAGGGAATCTGCGAGATGGGGGACAAAGTCGCATCAAGCTCGGGCTCCAGTGACTTCTCCTCTTCTGTGGGGAGGCTGTGGGAGAGAAAGATACTATGAGCCAAATGGACTCGTGGTGACCATAACCCTTGAGCCTCCAGTGATGTCTCAGAACAACAGGACAGTGCTAGAAGAAGGGTCGTTCTGCCCACCTGCCTATCCCCATGAGAATCTCCTTGCTGTCCCCACGCCACCACCTTTGCCATCAAGTTTCCCTCTTAGTCTCTGCCTCCATTCCCCTAGCTTTGATCCAAGCCTCAGTCTCCTCACCTACTGCCTGGACAACTGTAGTTCAAATCTAGCCTCAGACACATAGCTATATGACCCTGGACAAGTCACTTAACCCTGTCTTTCTCAATCCTTCATCTGGGCTAAGGTAATAACCTCCTAATTAGTGTCCCTGCTTCTAGTCTCTCTCCCTTCTCCAATCAATCCTCCACACAATCACCAAAAATAATCTTTCTAAGATACAAGCCTGACCTCTTTATTCCCCTTCTCAAAAAACCTTTGGCAGCTCCCTATTACCCCTCAGGATAAAACACAAAATCCTTAGACTCCTCTTCCTCCTGTCTTTCCCACAGTGACCCTGAGCTCAGAGGTATGTACTCAAGGGTCATCAAGAAGGACATGTACATTTGTTGGCCGGCCTCTGAGACCTGCCCCAGCCCCAGGGCAATACCACAGCAGAAGCAAAGGGAAACAAAGCAAGAATGAATCAAGCCGTCTGTCACCACCAGGAAGTTCTTTCAGGTAAGCTCATGGAACCCTGAGCTTCCAAGGAGCACATTGTGAAAACTACTCTGATCTCTCCTACTTGCTCCCAGCAGCTAGTGTGGAGAAAGCCCTGAATAAGAGTTCTAATACTGGCCCTGCCACCACTGGCTCTTTGACCTTGGGCTAGTCATCAAGATGTACTCCCTACCTCTCTTCAAATCTTCATGTCCTTCAAGGCCCAGCTCCAGTCTTGCCAGAAAACATCTCTGATCACCCTGACTTCAGTCCCACCCTCCTTGGGGAAGCCTTGGCCAACAGCCTTCCCATCAGCAAAGACTTGCTGACTGAGAGGTGGAAAAAGGGGAAACAGAGACAGCTCAGCACTCAGCATGACTTCCTTAAGGGAAAATTACAGATATGAAACCTATCTCCAATCTCAGCCCATCCGGGCGTGTTCCTGCCTGCTATCTCCCCTTTATCTCCTCTCCTCGGGGCCCAGAAATGAAGTGGCCATTGAGCCTCTCCTTGGCTGGTTGCCTGGGGGCTTTCCTGGGCTCAGGGTGAAAGGTGTGTGGGAGGTGGATGACAAAGTCCTGTCTCCATTCAGTGGAGTTTTCCCAGGAAGCTGTGGGAGAAGGAAGCACAGAACGCCATAGCTAGGAGGGACCTGGAGATCTTATAGTCCAATCTTCCTGAGGGAGACACTGAGGCTCAGAGTGGGAAAGGGCACTACCCAAGACCCCACATGGACTTAGTGCCTAAGGAAGAACTAGTCCAACCCATAGCCAAGCAACACCACCACCCTCAACAAGTCACCATCCAGCCACTGCTTGAAGGCCTCCAACGACAAATAATTACTTTCCCCAGAAGTCTTATTCCATTTTTAAATAGTTCTCATTTTTAAGAGGCTCTACTTGTACTGAGCAGAGATCTCTTTCCCTGTAACTTCCTCCCATTTGTTACTTGTAGTTCTGCCTTCTGGGGCCAAGTGGAACAATGCCCCTCCATGTAACAGACTTACAGATACTTCAAGATTGCTATCATGTCCCCCTCTAAGGCTTCTTTCCAACAGGCCAAACACCCCCGTTCCTTCAGTTGATCTTGGGCACAGTGTCTCATTTCCTCCTCCCTGTGGTTAACCTGCCCTGGACACGATCCAACACCCCAGTATAGAGGCCACCACTGGCCCAGGCAAGTCCTGTACCCAGGCCAGCCTTGCCTGGGACGGATGTTAGCTGATCTTTCTGGCTCAGACTGAGGAAAGGCTGATGGCATAATAATGTGAATAATAAATATCAGAGACAGGTAGCATGTCATGGGGAAGAGAAAACCAGTCTCAGAGCCAGGAAAACTTGGGTTCAAGTCCCACCTCTGACACAAGCTGGTCGTGTGACCCTAGGTTACTTAACCTCTCCATGTTCCAGGCAACTCTCTAAGACTCTAAGTTGCCAAAAATATGACCTACAATGGTACAGGGAGTTTCCACACTGGGAACTTCCTATAACAATGAAATAATAGGTCTAGTTCTTTCCCCTAACTAATTTTGCCACCCTCTGCAGAGCCGCTATGCCTGAAGTACTTTTTGGAACAGCGATGATGACTGGCTGCATTTTACAAAAGAGGAGACTGAAGCCTAGAAAGGGTCATAGGATCACGAATCTAGAGATGAAAGGGGCCTCAGACATCATCTGGTCCAACCTCTTCATCTGTAGATGTGGACACATGCTCAGAGAGATTAAGGAGCTTCCCCAAGGTCACACAGGGATCAGACGTGGGATCAAACCCAGGTCCTGTGACTTCACAGCCAGGGCTCTTTTTCTTGCACCAAGATCATACAGTTGGGCAATGTTAGAACCCAGGTCTCTTCTCGTGACATGCACTGAGGAATCTGCTGTCCCTCTGACCCATGACTTCCTGGTCTCCTTTGGGGTGGCTCCCCATAGCCCTAGTTGGTTTGTTCGAGGTGGCGTCATCAACCCGCCATGCCCCCACAGTGACCCAGAAGCCCTGCAGAGTCCTACACTTGCAGCTTACAGGGCTCTGCTACCTGGTTGCACCACCTTGCCCCAAATGTTGACTTAGGTTCCACTGATCCCTTCCTCAGAAAACTCTCCTTTCCCTTTTCAAAGGTTGTTCACCCTGTTGGAGCCCTTGCCTTCCCACTCTGAAAGGCAGGCTCTGGCTTTCTAATGGGCAGGTACTCTGATCTTTCCCGGCTCAGGTAATCACCTCTTCCTGCCTACCCAGAGCTTGTGGAACAGCTTAGACCTCAGGAACACCTGGGAAAGTGACTTTCCCAAATCCTGAAGGTTCCCATGGTTTTCTAACAGGTCTTCTTCCCTCCTATGATCTCTCTCAACTTCAAGCCATCTTTCACACACTATCAAAATTATCTTCCTAATGTACAGGCATGACCACATCACTCTTACCTTCAAAAACCCTCAGTTACATCCTACTGGCTACTGAGTTCAGTTGAAACACCTCTATTTGGCATTCGAGTGCCTCTACAACATGGTGTCACCTAACCATTGCAATATTTATGCCCCTTTCTCCAACTGTTATGCTCCAGTCAAACTAGACCCTTTGCTCCCTGAACCCATATACTATCCAGCCCCTGCGCATTTGCTCAGGCAGCTCCCTATGCCAGGAATGCCTTCCTTTCCTCTCTTCACCAAGTGAATTCTTACCCATCATTTAAATCTTCACTTAAAACCCACCTCCTTCAGGTAGCTCGTCCCCTTAGGCTTGACATATCACTTGTTTGAAACTCTCTAATTCGGTTATTTAATGGTGTATATCAAAGCTGTCTGTATCTGTTTCCTCCCCATCCAAGACCCCGCACTCCCTAAGGACAGAAGGCATGCCTTGTCTAGACTTGGTGTCTCTCCCAAGGCCCAGCACTGAGCCCTGCCCCCAGAGGAAGTGTGTTATTCTTTATCTTCCCTCCCCACCACTCAACAGAAATTATTCTTTCCAAAGTCACCAATGACTTCTTCCATCATCAAATCAAATGGCCTTTCCTCCTTTTTATTTTCTTGACTTTTCTATGCCATCTGATCCCTGCCTCTTACAGGACACACTTTCATTCCTTTCCAGCCTTGCTTTCATTACTCTTTGCTACCCTGTGCAGGATCATCCAATCAGACTGTCCTTCCTGCTGGTTCCCACATATAATACTCCATCTCCCATCCCCACACCTTTGCATTGGCTGTCCCTCATGCCTGGAATGCTCTCCCTCTTCGCCTCTTGAGAATCTGTTTCCTTCAAAACTCAAGGATCACCTTCTACATGGAGCTTTTCCTTTTTCTTAACTGGTCCCCCTTCAGTCTCCCTATCATTCTCCAATTCATCCTTCACCCAGATGCCAAATAATCTTCCTAAGGCATAGGCATTGGCATGGGCATAAGGTCTACCCACGTCACCACCCTGTTTCAGAATCCTTCAGTGGCTCCTTTATCACCTACATGACAAAACACAAACTCGTTAGCCTGGCATTCAAGGCCCTCCCTAATCTGACTCTATTTTTCTTTCCAGCCTCATTTCACACTAAACTGGATGAGGGAACTACAGCAGCCATCTATCATGTCCAGGTGGTCACACCCACCATCACGGATGCCTGGAATGTACTCCTTCCTCATCTCCACCAGTTGAAGTCTCTCTTCCTTTAGGGCTCAACCCAGTACCCACCCCAGGAATCTTCCCTGTCTGCTCCATCCTTTTTCACCTTTCCTCTAGACACAGATGAAAATGGTCTCTTCCTTCTCAAATTTTCCTAGGCCATTTTGTCTGGATTTCTTCTTAACACTCATCACATATGATAACTTATACATGCCTACTGGACTGTGAGCACCTTCCTGAGGGCAGCGTTTATGCTGCAACTATCCTTGTAATCTCTTTGCCAAGCAGAGGATCTTATACATAACAGGTATCTTTACCTGATAGACATCTTTACTCTAAAATATCTCCATATGGGTTTGTAACACGAGACCTCTTAGTTCCCACACAACCCCTGTAGCAGGATACCATGCATTGTGCCAACTCTCTGGCAGCAGAGATCAGACTGGGGGAGCTGTCCCCACCCTCTAAGACAATCCCCATGGTAAGCCATTGGCCTAAGCAAGGGGGAAGACTCTTAGGGTCAATCTTCACTCCTGAAGCCCAGTACCCAGGGCAGAGCTTCCTTTCTGAGAAGTACCATGATTCATAAGTGGCTGGTCAAAGATCCCATCATTCATTCATTCATCTAGAACTTATGACAGCGATGTTCAAACTCTTGGACAGACAAGGCCTGACCTGGATGGCCCTGGGGGCTATAGTCAGGA